GGTTATTTTGAAACAAAAGGCACCCGAGGAGGGTTTGAGTACCCCCACCTGCAAGACAGCTTTTCATTTCAGAGGGAAAACTGAAAAGTTGGGGAAATGGCCCAGCAAACCCCTCCCAGATCAGGACCCTCACGTTTTTCCTTCAGCCACTGCCTCGCTTTTTCTTCTCAGATCAGCCTGTGGAAGTCCCTTCCAGAGACTCTTTAGGGTGGGTGGGCAATAGGGGGACCCAAAACTGGCCCCTGACCCATCAGAACCATATGATGGCTCAGCAAGTGTCCGGAGGCTCAGTCCTTGCAAGGGGAAGCCACCTGAAGAGATGGAGGAAACACATTTTGTGTGTGTGTGGCTCCAGAGAGTAAGACAGACTCAAATGGCAGGAAGACAGATCCTGAGTAAACCTTCAGAAGAACTTTCTGGGAGTAAAGGCTCTGAGGCAGCAGACCAGGGAAGGTGGTGGATTTTCCTTCACTGGAAATTTTAAGTGGGGATTGAGTGCTTCTCAGTCAGGGATACTGTAGGTGTGGAGACCTCCATGGTTGTTTTTAAACCATGGTTGTTTTGAAATATAATGATTGCATTATATGGGCCTAGCATTCCCACCTTCAGCTCTGAAGTCTACACTTCTAAGATGGGTTGTTTGTGAGAAGCGAGCCCAACTAAATTATGCCAATGGAATTCCAATCTCTTTTGGTTTAACTTTTAGCACATCTCACATTCATCCATACCCCCCCATTTCTGGTCTTAGGGTGAGCTAAATCCATTCACTGCGGGGACCAGCTCCATCTCTCTCATTCTGGAGATGCTGCTACACAACACTGAGGGGAATGTCCTTCAAACGGAGGGCATCTATTGGAAGTTTGGGCAAGCCAGCATTGTCAGGGAGGTCAGGCTGGCCTTTGAAACATGTAGGGACACAAGCACCACTTGTGGGAGATCCCACCTGGAAATAAGGAGGAATTTTCTGATGGTGAGAACCATTAAGCAGTGGAATAGCTGGCCTCCCAATGTCATGGGTGCCTCGCTGGAGGTTTTCAAGAAAAGATTGGACAGCTATCTGTCTGGGATGGTATGAGGTGTCCTGCCTTGAGCAGGGTGTTGGACTAGAAGACCTCCAAGCTCCCTTCCCACCCTATGACCATTCTATGATTCTATGATTCTCCACTGCTCACAGTCTATGTGAGGGGAAATTTTCCCTAGGGCATTCTTTCCCTTTCCTTCAGCCTGGAAAACTCAGAGGGTTGTGTCTATCTCTGTATGAATGGAGTGTTGCCACCTGCTTCTGCCACCCATCACAAAAGCCCAAGACACTTCTCCAAGAAATTTCTGACAAGAAGCCAGGGATGGCATGACACATACACACCTGTGAACAAAGCAGCATGGGGTTCTGGAAACAGGAGACCCGGGCTGAAGGCAGAAGCGACAAAGGAGCAGAGAATCACACCTGTGAACAAAGCAGCATGGGGTTCTAGAAACAGGAGACTCGGGCTGAAGGCAGAAGCGACAAAGCAGAGAACATCTCAATGGAAATATTTCTGAGGGACAGCGGAGCATCTGCAGCCAACGAGGTGAGAAAGAAGCAGGACATCCCACCGAATGGTGGCCTCTTCTGCCTCCCCACTGACTCTACATCAGAAGGCAGGAGGCTCCTAAAACACTTGCAGATATCTAGATTCTGCATTGCCAAGCCCTAGAATCTCTAAACCATCCCTTTCCTCCTGCTCCTTCCCAGATCCACACCATATCTGCCTGGAGAAGTACCCCATCAACTACATCACTGGGACTGCAAAGCAGTGGCTTCAGAAGTAGCTGGAGCCACTGATGACCACAGCCCGCTACAAGAACTTTCTCCAGGCAATGGGGCAAAGGGGAGCACCATCCAGGCAAAGGGGAGCACCATCTCCCAGCTGCTCCATGTTCCAAGGCAGTCCACTTCCAAATCTAAGAGTCTGGAAACAAACAGCATGAGTGGGTTTATGGCCTTCTTTGCAGCATTTGGTTGGCTGCGATAGGAGGGATGGAGAATGTGGTTCTTAGAAAGGCCCCTTGGTCTGACTGACCCAGACTCTCCCCTCTTCCTCCAATGTGGTTCTTAGAAAGGCCCCTTGGTCTGACTGACCCAGACTTTCCCCTCTTCCTCCGAGTAATCTGATACAGCATTACTCTCTTGGTCTAGCATTTGACTTTTCTGTAGCATTCAGTGGGATTTAATCATGTTCAATTTGGATGGAATCGGTGAATGCAATTAGAAGTGGTTCAAAATAAACAGTTGTTGTAGAATAAATTTTCATGGATTAGAGTATACTTCAGGAACTGCTAGCTAACTCAACGGCTTAGGCATCTGGCTGCGGCACCAGACGTTGGGAGTTCAGTACCCCACTGTGTCTCCTTGACAGAAGCTGGACTTGATAATCCATAAGGTCCATTCTTTTTCTTTTCATCATCATCATCATCATCATCATCATCTGAAGTGTTATCCTTCATGGACACATATTACACCCAGTAGGGGGTGCATGTCGTTCACTGTGGACTGCAGCTTCCAGTATTCAACTCACTCCTGCAGTACACACATGGGGTCCTTAAGTTGTTTTTGATGCTACACAAAAACAAGGTCACCTTTTTGAAGTTCTTACCTTACAGCAGCAATCCTACACCCAGTCAGATCAGAATCAGCCCCAGTGAACTCAGTGGAAGTGAAATGAAAACCCCTTTTTCTGAAAAAACAATAGCTCGCCTGTTTCTACTAAAATGTGTTTCTACAACTCTTTGGAGAGCAAGTTTTGAGAGCTACCTCAGTTTATTTCTCTTCTCTAAGTGTAGAAAAATCCCTTTAGACTTCATGTCAGCTGAGGTAGGAAAGTAGGAAACAAGTATGCCAGATAACACTGATTCATTATTATTTTACAAAGTAACTTTAAAATCTGCCAGTGTTTAATTTAAATCAAGGTTCATATGATAAGCTTGGTATGACAAAACTTTTAAAAGTTCAATGGCTCCAAACAATTCATAACATTAAGTAACATGTAATAAAAGAATCTGTTCTTGGTTGTTGAAATCAGAGATGATTTCGTCACATTTGCAAAATGTAGCCCACAATTTTGACACAGGCGCACGTACGCAGTGTTGAGCATAACACGCTTTGTGGGCAAGTAACCTGGTACAGTAGTTTTCCTCTTTTAATTTCCAAATCACTTCTCAAATTCCTCCATTTTTAAAACTGAGATTTCAGCACAAGAACCAGGCAACTTATAAATCAATTTTAGAAAATATGTGCTGGAGTAGCAGACCACATCCAACAACAGCTAATCCAGGGAGCCCTCTTAAGGAGTACTCGTAAGACACATGTGCATGGCAGGAGTTTAAAACGCCACCTCTGAAGTAATTTTCAAAGCCCTCACTTCTATAGCAGTGCAGCTTTTACAGAAGCAGTGGGTAACAGCCTATCCTCCAAATTATTTTACCCAGGCTTCGTGCTCTGGAGAGGACACTGCACCTTTGCATACAGCGCCGAAGTCCTCCATACAGAGCACGTTACCATAGTCTCTCAAGACTGAAGGATGGCTAGCTAGTTCAATGGAATCTGGATACACCAGGAGGCAAAATCATGGAAAAAGATAACAACATGACAGCTCTCAATTGCTGTTACATGGAGAGACTAGAAATGATGGATCCTGATGGATGTCACCAGACCAGCCAGTCTGAATTTTCTCCTCCTCTACCTCTACAAAAAGATTTCAGGAACAAGGTGGGTAGAAAAGAGATAGCAGCAGTTACAGAGAAACAGGTAAAGAAGGCCTCAGTGGAGGGGAAAAGGGGGGGGGCTGGCGTGCATTGGTGAAGCTCACTTACAGAGAAATGGCTCAGCCTGCCACACTCTAAACTAGGATCTGTTTTACAGAGTTTAGATTTTCCAAGAGTACAGAAGCAGAATGGAGGGGCAAGGGTAGGTCAACAAGATAACATTGTTCTTAATTTGAGAAGAAGGGTGTATGCGAAAGTAAATCTTACTGAATGTATATACTGGCACTTCAAGAAGTCTAGGACTAGTTGCATTTTCCAATTGCTGCTTGCTTATGGGTGGGGTCCTAAACATAATTACTAGGTAATAAAGCCCACTCAACACACTGTAAACATAGGTGAGGCTGATCGATATCATCAGCAACAGCTTTCCCACGTGTGGCAATGTCACTGACTCTACTCCAGCCAAGAGTATAAACAACATGGGTTGCCTACTGTCAGGATACGTCTGCAGAGAATTATCCCTATACTCCATCCACCCCAAATCTACAAATCACTATTCATCAGTTACGTAGCATTTGCAATAGACAAATGACCTTACAATCGTTACATAGCTTGTTCTTGCTCACATCCCTGTGAGATAGGTCTAATGGTTTTTGTTTTGTTTTTAACAAATGAGGAAATCAAGCTGCAAATTTGCCCAAGGCTGTGCCGTGAAGTCGTACCTGACTGGTGATTTGAACTCAGATTTCCTGTACCCAAAGCCAATGGATCACACTGGCGAAGAGATTTATTGTGGCTAGTGCTCACAAGTGACCCTGTTATTGCTCAGATTGATGAAACAGGAGGTTAATCTTACAAACAATAGGCAATGCAGACCACATAGTGGAAGAACGCTGAAACCCTTGAATGACACAGTAATCTTTCTTCTCCCAATACACATGACAATTATTTTGAGAGATCATGCCAGGATCGATGCACTTTGCTGCGTCATATCCCACAACAGCCGAATGGAAGCTCCCATTTACAAGAAAGACACCTATTCTCTCCTCAGCATTTCACAAATCAGGATGATTGTTGTCTCTCATTATAACACATTCTGCACATTTCTTCCTGCAGTTACACTGTCCATTGAAAAGCAGGTCTCACAGCACAGAAAGATCCTTTATGCACAAGCTCTTCGGAGATCATGGCATAGAGCAGTGGTTCTCAACCATGGGTAATCCAGGTGTTCTTGAACTGCAATTCCCAGTAGCCTTCACCACTAGCTGTGTTGGCCAGGGTTTCTGGGAGTTGCAGTCCAAGAACACCTGGGTTACCCAAGGTTGGGAAACACTGGCAGAGAAATATGACAGCCGGGATCAGCCTTAAGGGTTCTCCTTTCAGTAGATTCCTCTGCTTCAGCTCCAGCAAGATTTTAAACCATCTCTGACATGCCTGATCCACAGAGCAGACAACTTCTTCCTAACAAAGCCCTTGCTGTCCTCTTGCAATGAAAACAGAAAGACAGGAATCCGAGCCTGAAATCAGTTTCCAGTCATTACTGGGTGACAAGATCTCTTCCCAGTAAGTATTAGCGAAGTCGCTGGAGATAAGGATGAGGCTGATTATTGTGAGCTTCGATTATCTCCCGATCAAAGTTCCTCTGCAAAAAGATCCAGCTGTATTCTTGTGAGGGACCAGTTTTGGAGAAGCAAAAGGACCTGTCAAGGGAACAGGATGAAATTTCCTCTTGTCCTCTAGAGAATCCTTCTAAGACTGAGGAGGAATTGATGGGTCAGAAGCAGGAAAGACAAGGCAAGGCTGGTTCCTTCGAATTCTCAATGGACCTTTCTACTTCTTTTCCTTTCCTAGAGTATCTCCCTTCTCTTCTGTTTCACTGGCTTTCAGTTCACTCTTTGGCTGCGACTCTGTGGATGTCACAGGCTTGCCTTTCTCCACTGCCTTCTCTTTCGTGTGGATCCTCTGATGTGTTACTAAAGCACTCTTCTGTCTGAATCTCCTGCCGCACTCAAGGCAGCGATACGGCCGCTCTCCCGTATGGATTCTCCGGTGTATGAGAAGATCTGAGAATCGGGTGAATCTCCGCTCACATTCATCGCAGGGAAATGGTTTCTCCCCTGTGTGGATCTTTTGGTGCCTAGTAAGGTCCGACGGGTAGCTGAACCTTCTCCCGCACACGCCACAGCAAAACGGCTTTTCCCCAGAGTGCGTCCGCTGGTGGGAAATCAGATTGGAGCGCTGAATGAATCGCTTCCCACACTCGCCACAGGAAAATGGCTTTTCTCCTGTATGGATCCTCTTATGAATTTTAAGGGTGGAGGAGGAAACAAATCTCTTTCCACATTCCAGGCAGATGTAAGGTTTCTGGCCTGTGTGGATACGTTCATGCACTTTGAGCGCAGACTGGTGGCTGAAACACTGCTGGCAGTGAGAACAGCGATATGGCTGCTCTCCTGAGTGAACCCTCTGGTGACTCACTAGAGAAGCCCGTTGAGCAAATGCTGCGCCACATTCAGTACATGTGTGGGGTTTTTCCCCTGTGTGAATCCTCTGGTGCCTGGTCAAGTGGGACAACTGACTGAATCGTGTTCCACACGCCATGCAGCGAAAGGGCTTTGCGCCAGTGTGGATGTTCTCGTGCTTAGCCAGATCAGAGGGGCGTGCAAAGCATTTTCCACAGTCAATACAGATGTGGGATTTCTCTTTCCTTGGGGTCATCCCGGTAGCAGTATGTGTCCCCTCTTCCTTGGCCTTGGGATGCTGAAATGACCCACTGACTCTGTTTGCCACCTTTGTCCCTGTAAGATTAGGCAAAAGAAGAACATTTCAGTGATTTCAGTTCAGTGTTTCTTAATGCTCTTACATTATATGGTCAGTATCTGTTATTGGGGTGAATAGCGTAATTCGTTCTGCTTATGGCATAATTGCATTTTTGCAATTATGACAAGACTGCAGGAAAAAAAACCTAAAACATGACAACAGAAAAGGACAGAATTTAAATGTTATAACACCCATTTTAATATACATATTTAAAGGAAGTTTCTAGCCCTCACAACTACAAAAGAGTAATTAAAAGTGAGCATGTGCCTTTCTCTTCTAAGAAAATCTCCAAAGCCAGAAGGGTTGATGAACAAGAACTCTGGTGTTTGTAGGCTTCAGTTCCTGCACAGATCAGGTACTTAGTTCAAGGCACCAAAATAATAGTCAGAATCCTGTTGCATAAGCTCCGCCTGCATAACTTATTGAGTGAGAGCCATGGGAGTTTCTGGATAGAAGGAGACTTCTTTCTTCTGTCCTGAGACTCCCACGGCTCATATGAAATAAGATTTATTACACCCAAGTCAGACAAGGAGTGGGACAAAAAGAGGAATTCTTCAATTACCAGAAACCTCTGCAGCTGGTGATGTTGTTACTCTTTCACAAGTGTACTTACACAACAGGATTTTGGCCAAAGTATTTTAATTTGTAATGCATATATGGATAGTACTAATCAACTGCTCTTTATATAAATTTTGAATGACCTGTTTATAATGTGTATTATGTGCCATCCAACTTATGGCAACCTTAATAGAGTTTTTAATGTATGTCAGATATTTAAGGGGCGGTATTATCAGTGACACCCTTGGTGAGTTTCCATGGCAAGCAGAACTTGACCCCAGATCATCTGACTCCTTGTCTGTTACTCCATCCACGACACCACACTGCATGATTGTTTAAGAAAAAGCTAAATCAATCTGCAGAATACTGGAGAGGACTATTAGGTGCAGCAACACCAGGGCAGTTAACTCTCGTCATTAGCTGAAAAAACCCCAATGTCCCAGAAGTGGAAAATGTATTTCCCCTTACAGACTGTCATTGAAGCTTTGCTTGCACGTGTTAAAGGATGCTTGAAGTATCTTAGGAGACTTTATTCTTTTTTTATTACAATAAAATCAATATGGATAAAATATCTAGAATGTAGCATTTAGTGTTTTACTGCATCCTTTCCAGCTAATCCAAAACTCTTCTTGAACTGTAGCATTGAGCTGTGCTGAGCAAAACAGAAGTACTAGCAGTAAAAGGCAAAAAAGCAAAAAACAAAAAACCCTTACCCAGTACACTGGTCTTTCCATTATCCTGTTGCCTGCCCTCCTTGGTGAGAGGCCTCTGCTTGGCCCCAGAAGCAGCCCGTTGGTCTTCAGAGAGATTCACGGATATCATCTGGAATAAATCACCCCCCAGAAATGACAGTAGACGTTAACAATTATGAGCCATCTTTTAAAAAAAGTTGCTTCAACCAGCGAACGGAGCCTCAACTTACCCCAAAAAACAGTAGACGTTAACAATTATGAGCCATCTTTAAAAAAAAGTTGCTTCAACCGGCGAACAGAGCCTCAACTTACCCAAAAACCCCCCTTTCCTGCCCTTTTTTTGACCTAAGTTCACCTTAGGTCAAAAGAAGAAAAAATAAAATAAAAAATCACACCCTAGTGGTAGAATACGGATTAAACGGCTTTGCATTACTTCCTGTGGGAACTAATGCTTCTACCTACGAGCAGCGCCTCGACATACGAATGAAAACCAGTAGATATGGATTAAATGGTTTTCAATGATTCCTATGGGAAATCTTGCCTCAACTTACAAACTTTTCGATGTACAAACGCCATTCCAATACGGATTAAGTTCGTAAATCGAGGTACCACTGTATAGTGTTCACTATTATAATAGCATTTGCTACAACCCATGTTTTTCAGCCTCCAAGAGAGGGCTTGGAATAAATCCCCTGTGACTAAAGGGGAATCTCCCAACCTCTGTCTCTGCAGCCAGATGCCTAAACCACTGAGCTATCCAGCATTTCCTGCATTATTAGGGTACCTGGCCATATGGGTGGTCTAACTGGGTGTCAAGCCCCCTTTGATCAGATTATGCATGGATCTTGGGGGGAGGGCAGGAACACAGAAATGCACAGGATGGGGCCCATCCTGCTTTCCTGTAACCCTACTTCAGCAAATATGCAAGTAAGATCAAGAACTTATAAAACACAGAAACCCAGGATACTTTGGTTACATACTGAAAACAAAATCTATCGATCATTACAGCTGATCCTTTGAGGCAGAATAAATGGGAAAAGAAATAGAGGAAGCAGAAGAATATTGGCTAAAAAACCTTCATTGGGATGCATTAAAACATCACTGTTTAGAGCTGTGTGGCATAGGCATCTAGTTTGTTCACAGAACACTAGTTAGCAGGGAGAAAAATTCTAGCCTTCCCATTCAAAAGCACAATTCCCAGTCTTGAATCTGAAGAACTGAAAGAACAGTGTGTGTGTGTGTTCTTTATACTTACATCTGACCAATGGTCACTCTAGCCAGTTCACAGACAATCACAATAACAAAATTGATTATGCGACATAATCAAGGGTATTACATTAAATTAACAAATTATACTAAATAATAAACATTTTAAACAAGGTGAAAAACAGCCAGCAATTACGTAAAAGGCTGATGTTCTTAGGGATCTTAGATCAGTGGATTTTGAAAGATCTGACAAAATATCTTTAGGAGTTTTTTAAAGCAGTGGTCCCCAACCTTGGGCCTCCAGATGTTCTTGGACTTCAGCTCCCAGAAATCCTAGCCAGCAGAGGTGGTGGTGAAAGTTTCTGGGAGTTGTAGTCCAAGAACATCTGGAGGCCCAAGGTTGGGGACCACTGCTTTAAAAAACTCCTAAAGATATTTTGTCAGATCTTTCAAAATCCACTGATCTAAGATCCCTAAGAACATCAGCCTTTTACGTAATTGCTGGCTGTTTTTCACCTTGTTTAAAATGTTTATTATTTAGTATAATTTGTTAATTTAATGTAATACCCTTGATTATGTCGCATAATCAATTTTGTTATTGTGATTGTCTGGGGGGGGCAATGTGTAGCCTGCATAATTAACTTGTAAACTGCCCAGAGAGTGCTTGAAGCACTATGGGGCGGTATATAAGCAGCACGCTTTGCTTTTGCTTTGCTTTAGTACTGCCACGTGATACAGAGCTTTGTTTCCCCAGCTGCAGAATGAGATAACACGCTTTAAATATATATATACTACACATATCCTACTGAACCAGAAGGGAGTTCAACCATTTCTACAGTGATCACAGATAGAGCTTTTGCATAACTTTCTGTGCTTTACCTATAGACGAAGGCCACCTAAATCGTATAGTGAATTTACTCTGCTGGCAAATTTTCGCCTTTCATGGAACACAGCCTGGATTTGGGCTCTTACTATTTAATTTGTTCTAGTTCAAAAGAAGTGGAGCTCCCAGAATTCCCCATGCCACTAGCCACGTTAACTGTAGGATTCTGGGAGTTGTAGTGCAAAGATGTGAGCTTCCTATTCAACGAACAAGGTTATTAGATTGATGGAATCATTTGACTGCCATATCCTCACCTGTAGTTCACTTTCCACACTCTCCTGCTGCCTCAGAAGGAACCCCTCAGCCAAGGCTACCGCCTGGGCACAAGTCTCCGGCCCACGTTCTCGCACTTGGTTCTGGATTTCCTGTGGCAGAACCACCAAGAATTGCTCCAGGATCAGCAGCTCCAGGATCTGCTCTTTGGTGCGGCTCTCCGGCTCCAGCCAGCGATGGCAGAGTTCCCGTAACCGGCTGCAGACTTCACGGGGCCCCTCGGCCTCCTGGTAGCGGAACTGCCGGAAGCGCTGGCGCTGCATCTCGGCACTACTGGGGTTGCCTCGCACGGCAGCGGTTTTAGCTTTCCCATGATCCCCTTTGTCTCGGGTGTTCAGGCTGCTTAAGGCCTGCTGGGCTTCGGCACTGAGGGTTGGCATCAGGCGGCTCATCCCCTCTCTGGTCCACTGGCAAGCACCAAACACACGGTCAAATGCAGCCAGCTCATCCCATGAAGTCAAGTCTGGCAGCTGTGATGCTCCCCATCCTGCAGTGGGATACTGGACAGTTTTCAAGTACTCTTGCCACTGGGCTTCCAGGCGTTGGGGTACTCCTTCCTGCCGTGATAATGCCCATCGGGACAGGTCCTGAGCAGCACCGGACTGGGCTGAAAAGCTGTCTCTCCCTGAGCCTCCAGATCCCTCCCCTGACTCCAGCCCTTTATGGCTTTGTTCTGCCATTTCCCACAAGATATCGTGCTCACTTTCCTTCCTCGTCTCCAAGTCTGAGCTTGCAACCTTGTCTTCCTTGGGCTGGCTCTCTCCCGAGTTCAAAGACTTCTACCTGCCCCCTAAAAATCCAGATTTTGTACCTCAGACAGGCACATACAAAAAAAAACTCCAGTCTCTGACCTTAGGCAATACCCTCATACCACCTCATAGCTCCCATTGTGCAGGGCGAATGGAACGATCCTCTCAGTAATGCAGCGTTCAAGGAAGCCAGCTGACCCCGGAGCCAACACATTTCCAATTCACAAGGCTGCGAGTTGTTCTGGGGTGAAAACAAAGTATAAAGTCATTTATTTATTTGAAATATTTTTGCCCCACCTTTCTCCTTGAAAAGGACCCAAGGCGACTAACAACATTGAAAGACAATATTTAAAGTTGAAAACAATAAATATACAGTGGTGGTTAACATGATTAGTTCTAATCCAAGAAAGATCTTAATATTATACAGGTAAAAAAACTTTTTTCCCATGTTTGAGCTGAAGAGGAGGCTGAGGTTGTTTCCTATCAAGATAAGCCACAGTTTATTGTGATGTCTAGAACAATCAGTGTGGGTTCTAGAAATTTTGCCGTCCATCATTTAATTGCATACACAGACCAATTTTGCATGCAGATGCTTGCAAACAGGCTGGATGGGCTTTGTCCTCAGTTTCAATTACCATATTTTAGTATTTCCTCTGAACGCTAAACTGTGACTGAGCTTAATCCAGATTTGTCAAAATATGCCAGCCTTCAAAGGCCACAATTTGAAGTTAGCTTGTTTCAAATACACAATATAATTAGTAAACAGCAAGAATTTTCTTTAAAACAACATATTTTTAGATGTCACAAAACTGATTAATTAAAATCTGAAAAAAGAGCTTTTGAATTGCTTTTCCTTGCCACATCAGGGCAGAAAGGAGAATTCAAGTCCAGGGGAGGCTAGGTGTGTTCTCATCACAAGCCATGATTTATCACAATCTATGAATGCAGCTAAAGGCAGAAGGAAATAGCCAAAAGGTTCAGAAGGAAAAGCTGCCAAGTGACTGAGTATGTTTCTATGCTGTGTTGTTGTTTTGTTTTTTGATATATATATTTTTTGCAGCCCCAGCGCCTTTCGATGGGGCTTGCTCCGTTGTTTATTTTATTTTATTTTTTTGCAGCCCCAGCACCTTTGGGGCTTGGTCCATTGTTTATTTTTGTCTTTTGTTTTTTGAAAGGCCTAGCACCTTTGGGGCTTGCTCCGTTGTTTTTTATTATTTTATTATCATTATTATTATTTTGCAGCCCCAGCGTGTTCCTATGAGACTTGCAGTGTTTTATTTTAATTTTATTTTGGGGGTGTATTTTCTCTCTCTTCTGGAACAGATTAATCGCATTCCAATGCATTTCAATGGGAAATGGTGCTTCGACTTACAACCATTACGAGTTATGTACATGTTCTGGAACAGATTATGGTCATAAGTCGAGGCACCACTGTATAACCGAAACTCTGCTGCCCAGACCCATGCAATTCAAGGGAGAAGTGTATTAAAATTTCACTATTTACTTGAAAATGCAGTGCGCTGTGGGTTAAATTGCTGAAGCCTCTGTGCTGCAAGGTCAGAAGACCTGCAATCGTAAGATCCAATCCACGCGACGGAGTGAACCCCCGTCGCTTGTCCTAGCTCCCGCCAACCTAGCGGTTCGAAAGCCTGCAAAATGCAAAAATGCGAGTAGATAAATAGGTACCGCCTCCGTGGGAATGTAAACGGCATTCCGTATCTAGTCACGCTGGCCATGTGACCACGGAGGATTGTCTGCGGACAAACACTAGCTCTAGGGGTTGGAAATGGAGATGAGCACCATCGCCTAGAGTCTGACACAACTAGACAAAATTGTCAGGTGGAACCTTTACCTTTACCTATTCGCTTGAAAATTCAGTTCTGTACTTGAACCATTAAAAGTCAACAGTTCAGTTGCTTACACGTAACCCAGCTGTCATTTCTGTAAGTAAAGGTAAAGGTTCCCCTTGACATTTTAGTCAGTCGTGTCCGACTCTAGGGTGTGGTGCTCATCCCCGTTTCCAAGCCACAGAGCCAGCATTTGTCCGAAGACAGTTTCCGTTGTCACATGGCCAGCGTGGGTATACACGGAATGCTGTTTACCTTCCCACCGAGGTGGTACCTATTTATCTACTGGCATTTACATGCTTTCAAACTGCTAGGTTGGTGAGGAGCTGGGACAAAGCGACAGGAGCTCACTCCGTCGCGTGGATTTGATCTTACGACTGCTGGTCTTCTGACCCCGCAACACACAAAGGCTTCTGTAGTTTAGCCCACAGTGCCACCACGTCCCTGTGTCATTTCTGTAGGGTAAATTAAATTTGTAAGGAGAAGGGCATAGAGTGGTCATCCTTTCTGACAGAGTTATAAGTGCAAAACATTAAGGTTTCAGGATACTGGCCTTCAAGAAAATGTTGAATTGTGTTACTACATCTTATACTCCAAAATACATTGGGTGTGTGTGTTAGAATATATACTTCAAAAGTTTTTTTCACCGACTCTTTATGTGAAACCTTGTGAGACAGCTAGTGCACAGAGGAGAGAGAATGAGAAAGAGAGGACCACACTTTTGAAAGAAAACAGAGAGGTTGTTGTGCAGGGCCCAGAGAAGGATAAAGCCGAGCCCTTAATCGGCTCAGCCGTCAAACACATTCTGCAGAGAATCAACATTGCCGGTGCTTGCCTGCCCTTCCCCCACGGCCCGCTGGGGGTCCTTTAATCCCTTGACGACCTCCCCCCTCTAAATCCTCAGATGCAAACAGAATGGAAAGCTAGATAACAGGCCCTATCTGAGTCTTCCCCTTTACATGATCCAGATTTCAAAACCTCATCTGCTCCGCTGCTACATCCCTTAGCCAGAAAGCAGAAATGAGATCCCCGAACCAACAGCAAGGCAGAAGGAAAACTGCCAAACAGATGCAAATGAATGAGGAGCCCCCACCCACCCCGGGAGCCTCATGTTTATATTTCACGTAGAAAATCCACACTGATAATCCACATCATCTTCTGAGCCCATCTTCGCAAACACAAATGTGGATTCGGATCTGTTCACCCACAAATTCGGAAGCATGGCAAACTTCCAGCCTCTTCACCCCTCTTTCATAATCCTGAACGCAACACACAGTCCTGCTTTCGTTTTCTGTCTAGGAAACAGGGACAGCTGTGGCCCCAACCTCCTCCCTTGAATCATCTAGCTGTGGATCTTCTGCTTCAGCAACAACACCGTTCCTCCGTCCTAATACACTCTGTAAAGGAGGGAGAAGTCACAGCAAACCTTCTTGTTAATCCTACAACAACACACAGACGGACACACACAATGAAAGCTTACCACAGATCTCTTCTCCTAGACTTGACCCTGATTTTTTATTCTACAACTCCAAACAAAGGATGTGAGTGGGCAGGCCGGCCTGAGTAAACAGAGAGAAAGAGAATGATGGGGAACATCCTGGTTTTTGAGATCTGAGTTCAAATCCAACCTTGGATGTCCCTGTCACCTCTATCCGCCTGCCCCCACTTCACAGCCTCATCTTTCAGCTTGTGAAACGGGAAGAATAAAGACTATTATCATGGCGTTGACTGTGCGCAACTATGTGTAAAGATCACAGTTATCAGTCTTGGATCTGAGTGGTCGTTTGACCAGATAGGTGGGGTATAAATACAATCAATCAATCAATCAATCAATCAATCAATCAACCAACCAACCAACCAACCCACACACACACACACACACAGGATTCAAATCTCTGCTCAGCCACAAAACTCACAGGATGGCCATGGGGGCTACTGGCCACTGCTCGACCTGACCCCTCTCTCACAGGACTGCCGTGAGGGTCCCAAAGGGGTTCTTAGTTAGACCCACGGAGGCTGCCCTAAAGAAGAAAGTGGGAAGATGAACCCGCGGCGTATGCCTACCTCTTATTACCAAGCCGTGGGTAAATCGCTCCGATCATCCTTTTTTGGCTGGGAAGCGAGAGGGAAAATGTTATAGAGAGATATCTATGGTATAGAGATGGTGACAGACAACAACAAACTCCAGCACAGCTTGGAAAGAGAAGTCGGACCCACCCCGCGAGCAACCCCCGATTTCCATTCGGATCCAACCCAGACACGCATAAACATCCGCACGCCGTGCAAGAGCCACCCCCTCGCCTTTTTTTCTCACCCAGATGCTTCTTCCCTCGATCCTTATTATTTTTTTTAAAGCTGGATCTGCAGCTCCAAGGGTCTTGCCTTCCCCCACTCCCTCCGACCTTTCAGGCCAGCTCCGCCACACAAAGCCCCGCCGCGCACAAAGCTGCCACCCCTGCAGAGGCAAATCCCCCCCTTATTAAAATTCAAATCCCAAGTTTTGATCCCGGGAAGAGGCGGAGCAGGAAGGTGTCCCGGCTTAATTCATCCCCCTCGCCGGGCTTCCTGGCTTCCTCTCTAGGGCTGGCCGAGCCCACGCTTGGTTTAACCCTTGGTGGGTCCCAGGGACGTTTGACCAGGGCTCGGGTTGCTGCCAACCGCCGGCAGGAGCGCAGGCGAAAGGGGGAACTTTTAAAAACGCGCGTAAAAATAAAGATGCCGGGGTTGGTTCCTGCGAGGTTGTGTGTGCAAAAGGGTCTTCAGGTGAAAGAAATGTCAAAGGCAGGAGGATCGTCGGAAATGATTATGCAGAGGATGTTCACACGTGAACGAGAGAGATTATCGAAGGGTACGAAGCGAAGGTGTGAAGCGACCGCGAGCAAGCTCAGCCGCTACCTTAGCCTGGGAGACGGAGGATCGTCGGAAATGATTATGCAGAGGCTGTTCACACGTGAACGTGAGAGATTATCGAAGGGTGCGAAGCGAACGTGTGAAGCGACCGCGAGCAAGCTATCAGCCGCTACCTTAGCCTGGGAGACATTTTATTTTATTTATTTATTATTCGATTTATACCCCGCCCCTCTAGACAGAATCTACTCGGGGCGGCTTACAAAGAAGAATAAAACATTATAAAATGCAATCAAATAAAATCATCAAAGTATATGTAAATCAATGACATAATTATATCAACAAATTAGAAGATCAAGATTAGGGAGCTCTCAATTAAGCTCATGTGGCCTTTCACGTACTGCTGAATTCCAGTTCCCATCATTCATGACCATTTGCTGTGCTGGAGGAGGACTGATGGGAACTGTAGCTTAACACCTGGCCCCTATCTTTACCCTAAGGAAATTAAATAAATAAACAAACAAACAAACACCTGGCCCCTATCTTTACCCTAAGATGGGGGATACAAGAGTTTTCATACTGTGTTCTTAACATCTTCCCTCCCAGCCCGGAAGGTATCGCTCCTTTTTGTCACAGGATCAACCGTGCTTTAGAAACTGGCGGCCATTCAACGGGTGCATCCTGTTCACAGCAGGGGCACTGAGAAAAGTCTGCATCCGTTGGGTGTCAGCCTATCGGGGCAAAGATGCAAAGCCCCAATTAAAAGTGAACATGGTGCATTTCTTGCAGTTCAGTAGCTGGTGTCAATATCTCCGGTTTAATACCAGACACTAGCTGCACTTTAGTAACTACAACTGAACATGCCAGTGTTGTGTGGTGAGTTGAACAAAGCCACAGGAGGCTTGGGTTCAAAACCTACCTGATCATGACCACTGTGCAGTGAAGAAAAATAAACCCACTCACCCCTTATAAAAGAACATTTATGTTAACAACAATGATAATAAATGGCTTTACTGCCTGTCCCTAGCCTTCCCATTTTCTTACTTTATTATCCTTAATAGGGAGGATGCTTGGGTAAATGGGAAACAGTGAGTATGAGTACAGTATTAGAGAACGGAGGCAGAATGCACATTCTCCCCCTGCTTGGTCAATAGTTAAGATTGATTAACTTAAATCAGGGTTGGGCTAAGTGCAGTCCCCCCCTGCCACCTTCAGATGTGGCTGCCTTGCAACATAGCCAGTGGGGGAATTGCTGGGGTTGGCAGGCCAAGAAGACCTGGAGGGCTGCACATTGCATACCCCTGACATAAAGTACACTAATGGGTTATTTGAACATTCTTGCTTTAAAACAATGGTTAAAACCTAACACTTTGCCTGGGATTTGTTCTTGGCTTTTAAAAGTGCTTAATATTTAGCACTCCGGTTTGTTTAGCACTTAGATTAGCAAGATGAGAGACCTGCTGGATTCTCCATGAAAGGTTTCTCTAATCAAACACCCCACAAGGGCTATCCCTACCCTCTAGTTATTAGCATTTTGACACCCACGGCTTCTCAGCTCATAGGCTGCATTTGGCCAGCTGCCTAGTCCCTGATAGATATACAAAAAAGAGGAATGAGGGAGTTATGTAGTTCTTATATAAAACCTCAAAACAAATCTAAGCATTGCCTTTATTAAACCACTAAATAGGCAAGCAAAACTCAAAAACTTTTCTTTGTGTATTTTAGTGATCTAACAAAGATACTGAAATAATAATTGTGCATTGATTCTGCTTTAAAAGTGACTCTTTTCAAAGTTTTCTAGGTATTAAATACTCAGAAGTAGTTGTAGTGATCTAATAGAGTATCTCAGTAAAGTTGGTGTGTAGAGTGTCTGGGTATGACTTTGGAGACCTGGGTTCAAATCTCTACTTGGCCATGCAAACTCTGGGGTGGGAGAATTTCCTAATTCCTTTATAGAGGTATATTAACATACAGTACACCATGTGCATTCCATAAATTATGCATCACAGAAGAACTTTCTTTTGCATACCATATATTTATGACATGCAGTGATCCTGCAGTCATGTCAAGGTGGTGTTCATATTCTCTTCCCTACTTTATCCTCACAAACAACATGGTGAGGTGGAAGAATAGAGCACTCTTCCCTACTTTATCCTCACAAACAACAACACAGTGAGGTGGAAGAATAGAGCTATAAAAGTGTAGCATTGGAAGAGACTTCAAGGGCCACTTAGTTCAACCTCACGCTGATCTAGCTTGGCCTGAGAGTTTGACTGTCCTAAGGGAATGTAGTGAATTTCATGACTTACAGGGAACTCGAACCTGGATTTCCTAAGACTTGCTCTGTGAGGTACAGTAGCTGGCTCTTTAGCACTGTTAAGACAGTTCATTGGTAGTGCCATTTTACAGATGGCAGACTGAGGAGTAGAGTTGATCTACACAGCCAATGATAAAGGGAAGTAAATGCACCAACAAGGCTTCGAAAGTATTTGAAGATGAAAAAGGCCAGCTATACCATTAAGGCAGAGTGAAGCAGATGCCTCAGGCAGCAATTTTTTGTGCCAATAATTACCTCCAGAGGGTGGTGAGCGCTTCAAGAGAAAATTGGGCAACCATCTGTCAGATCTGCTTTGATTTGGATTCCTGCATTGAGCAAGACATTGGACTTGATGGCCTTATAAGCCCCTTCCAAATCCATTATCCTATGATTCGATAACACATGGTGTTTAATTTTTTTTAAATTGCTGTTGGCATTTTTACGAAAAGCAAGGAGAGGTGCTTGTGGGGGATTTTCTGTCCCATGTGCCAAAACAAGTTGGTTTTGGATACTATACAGCTTGGATGGGTGCAGCGCCAGTGGGATTGAGGCCCCTATTTGCCTGAAACAACAAAATGGACATAATTTCCAACAAACATAGAAATAAAGTATCACTGAATTACAAGAGAAATCAAAAAAAGCTCTTTTAGAAGAAGCTCATACCCACAGTTATAAAAAGAAAAAGTCTTCTTTTCAAAAGACGAAATGATCCCATGATCTGGTTGTCTGTATCTACTCATGTCTTCCTAGCCTTGGGTCCCTGAGTCTCCAGCAAGAAGCCTCTCCTAGACTAGATTATGGAGGGTTAAATGAATTTTGCTTTCTGGGTCCTAAAGCCATCCCTATCTTTGAGAGACAGGGGGGAAGGAATACGGTAGGGAGCTTCCTCTCTGAGTCAGCTCTGTTTTTTTTTCCAGCAGCAAGCAAAAGCAGCGCATTTTCAGGCAGTGGAAGTCCCCAAGCTGAGCAAAACAACAGAGGTGAGTGGGCAGAGTGGAGCCAGCAGTGTAAGGGGTGGTCTGGAAGCTGTGAGCATGTTTTACTGATCAAGGAAGAAGATGAGTCCTTTGGTATAAAGGGCTCCATTATGTCCTATGCAATGGTGAACATCAATATGTTGGAGAGAAAAATTGTTAAAATTCAGGAGGCACTCCACCCTTGAGCTATGGCAAGATCTAGTTAGCTTTAATGCCCATGGAATCCTTAATAATAATAATAATGTGCGGTCAAATGAATTTTGACTTATGGTGACCCTTTTCAGTGTTTTCCAGGTAAGGAATACTCAGAAGTGGTTTACCATTCCTTTTTTCAGGGGATACCCTGAGACTGTGCAGCTTGCCCAAGGCTACACAGGCTAGCTTTTCTCCCTGGAGCACAGTGGAGAATCGAACTTCCAATTCCTGGCTCTGCGGACAGATACCCAAATCACTGAACTATCCATCCAGCTTGGCAGTCTTTATCTTGATCCTGGCTACAACAGCCCTGTGAGATAGTTTGTAGTTGTTCCCATTTTACAGATGGGAGAATTGATGTTTGTGACTGGGTAGAAATCTTGGTTTGATCCCTAACACCCTGAACAAAATATCAGAGAGAGATTTCTTTTCAAATGTCATGGGAATTGTTCACTTATTCATCTGTGAGTTAGAAATTATTAACAATGCAAGCCTATGGATATTGCTCAGAAGTAAGGTCCAGAGTTCAGTAGAACTTTAAGTGTGCTGCTTATATACTGCCCCAAAGCACTTAAAGCACTCTTACCAGGTAGAACTTACTGCTTGGTAAGTGTGTATACAATCACAGCTTAAGAGATACCCATGCATAAATCAATCTAACTTAACAGAAGAAAATTTAAACTTTGATTCATATAGAAATAACTGTCTGTGTGGGTGGTTTGCTTTGTAAACAATGGTGGGATGGAGCACTTTTTGAGACAGAAGCAAATTGATGGTGACTGTTTATATCTCAGTGCAATTCTTTTATCACATTGCTCAAGATAAAATACTGGTATTATGTGCAGATCTAGAATCCTAAGAACAGGCTTTTAATGCACCAAAGATAGCTCTAAGAGCATGAGACCTAGGGCAAAGGAAGATAGAATGCCTAATGAGATGTTCATGGTTCTGGTGGCACCTGATTTGAAATCTCTCCTCTCACTCAATTAGCAGAACCCAAAACTAGCTGTTAAATACGTACAAAACAATTTTGCAATATCTACAGAGATTTTAGACATTGTTTTCTTTTATGTCTCTTGATTCTTGCTTATTTTGAATGAATTTTTAACATGCTGGAATTATTCTCACACCTTTGCATCCTTTGTTACATAGATTCCTTGCTTATTTTGAATGAATTTTTAACATGTCGGTATTGTCACACCTTTCCATCCTTTGTTACATAGATTCTTCTTTCCTGTGCCTCTTGCTAATTGACTTCCTGGCTGTTAACAACTCTTCTTGAAGTGGGCCATGAGACACCTTCTTAGATCCTTTTTAATTAGCTTTGTTTTACTGTACTTCAGCCAAAGCAATTTTCCATTTCCTTCAGAGCAGGTGCATTTTTAAAGTATTTGATTATTAACCTGTTCCTTTCAGTATGCATGTTTATTGAGACGAGACACCTTCTTAGATCCTTTTTAATTAGTTTTGTTTTACTTCAGCCAAAGCAATTTTCCACTTCCCTCAGAGCAGGTGCATTTTTTTTTAGTATTTGATTATTAACCTGTCCCTTTCAGTATGCATGTTTGTAAAAATTCTGTGACATCACAGCATCTGAGCTAGTAGCTAGGAGTGAGGCTTGCACCGTTTAGTTTTGAGACACCTTCTTAGATCCTTTTTAATTAGTTTTGTTTTACTTCAGCCAAAGCAATTTTCCACTTCCCTCAGAGCAGGTGCATTTTTTTTTAGTATTTGATTATTAACCTGTCCCTTTCAGTATGCATGTTTGTAAAAATTCTGTGACATCACAGCATCTGAGCTAGTAGCTAGGAGTGAGGCTTGCACCGTTTAGTTTTGGGTATTACCTATACAAATCTCTGTTATTTTAGGATCAAATGAGGATCATTGGAAGAAAATGGTGCTGTGCTCCGTTTTGGTCCTTGGATTTTGAAATCAGCATGACTTGTCTACAGCATTGTTAATGATAAGGCCTGCTGTAGCTAACACCATCCTAAAATTTCAGTTCTGCTAGTTGTGATGTGGAAGACGTGGACTTAAGATGACCTGAAGCCAATCTATAGGGGACAAAATACAGTAGCTCCTCTCCAAGAGGAGACGTGGACTTAAGATGACCTGAAGCCAATAGCTCCTCTCCAAGAGGTAGAATAACAGCTGCCTTAGTGAGTACTCCATAGAGAAAAATGGAGGGACCACATCCAGCACGCCTTATACTAGGAGAAGGATCAGGAGTTGGAAAATCCTCTCGGGCCCTCCAGGCTGGGGCAATCAGTGAGTTCTTGAGGTGGGCCACACCACCAGGAAGCAGAATCGAACGGCAGGAAGGAATTCCATCCCATGGGGAAGCCCAGTGGCATGAAATCTTGAAGACTTCTCACTCAGGATGGGTAAATTCCCAGTTCGCAGAATTGCCTCCTTGGGATGACCTGTCCACATTTGAGCGGGTAGCTGATGTGTATCAGTGGCCACTTAAGGAAGGCATGGCCAAACCAGTGCCAAATCTCAGTGGAGAAACACAGGCAGCCTTTAATAGCCTAGAAGCCAGAGAGAGAGGAGACTACGGCAAAGTGAAGGCCATTGCTCCACAAGTAGACTCCATTAATGCAGAGAAGCAGCGTCAGCATTTCAGGCAGTTCCGCTACCAAGAAGCTGAGGGGCCGCGGGAAGTATGCCTTCGGTTGCGTGAGCTTTGCCATCGTTGGTTAGAGCCGGAGAGCCGAACCAAGGAGCAGATCCTGGAGCTGCTGATCATGGAACAGTTCTTGACTATTCTTCCGAAGGAAATCCAAAGCCAAGTTCGCGAACGTGGACCAGAGACCTGTGCCCAGGCTGTGGCGTTAGCAGAGGGTTTCCTGTTGCGGAAGCAAGAGAGTGGGAAACAGGAACGACAGGTGAGATTTATTTATTTTGGGTCATCTTGGCGGAATGGAAGGAGAACTAGAGTTTGTTCCACAGTTCTTCAGGGCTCCATTTGAGGCAACATCCATGGACCTTAACATGTACACATAACTTTCTAAAAATGGACTTACTGGGGCTCAACTTGCCTCAAATTATCCTGGACCCAAAAGAAAATATTTTAGGATGGACATAGAAGGAACATAGAGAAACATTTGCAGGGGGAAAGAACATACAAAAAGTGCATTTTCTACCAAAAAGGAGGAGGCAAGCTCCTTACTTGAGGAAAGGCGTTACTGTATTTCCCAACCTCATCAATAGCAGGGATGGGCAACACACAGCATATGGACCGCATGTTGATCTTTCAAGGCATTGTTGTGCCTTCCATTGCCCCTCTTTGCCACTGCTGAAATCAGTGAGAACACAACTGCACTGCCAAAAAAAATATCCTATAGACTGGAAATAGATGGTGATGCCTGTCCTAAATTCCAGATACAGCGCTGACTGTCATTACTCAGCACTGAGTAAAATGAACTATATGCACCTTCCTGGGGTTCTTTCTCTTCATAGACAAAGGGCTGAACCATGACAGAAGTCAGACCTGATTCCAAAACAAATCAGGGAAATAGTCTTTTCTTGAATTCAGTTGGTGCTATCAAACAATCCAAAACTGTACAGAAGTGCTTTGTGGTTGCCTAGCAAGAGTCCATACAGTCTCTCAGGGAGGGATATCTGCAGTTGCCTAACAACTATTTATTTCTCCTCCTTTTTTAATTTTTTCCGTACTTTCTACAGGAGTGTTTCTCAAGGCTTTAGAAAGTTTTTTTTGTTTTGTTTTGTTTTGCCTCGGCCTGTTATGAGTGCCTGGCAACAATGAGGCCAAACGGAAGATAAGCCCACAAGTTCTGCTTATCTTGGAGTAAAGATTCGTGTGCTGCCCCCTTGATGGACAGATATTCCTTCTACTTTTACCAACCACATATTTGTTTCCAGGAGTGATATTCATTCAAGTGTTAGGAGAGTTGGAGGCGGAGGGTAGAATAGGCTGATCATCTCCAGCTTTTCCTGTACAGGCTAGGAATAATAGGACTTGTAGGTCAATACATCTAGAACACAGATTCCCATCTTTGAGTCCCCAGATGTTCTTGGACTACCACTCCCAGAAATCCTGGTAAGCACAGCTAGTAGTGAAGGCTTCTGGGAGTTTTAGTCCAAGAACATCTAGATACCTGAGGTTAGGAACCGATGCTCTAGAGAGAACAAGGTAGGGGAATGCCTCTCTTAGGCCCAATATTTCCTTTCTTATCTCCTACAATTATTCCTACTGTTTCAGATATCAGCCACCATCCAAGGAGGTGCAAATTGCTCTGAGACCCAGCGATCCCCAACCAATGCCAGACCTAGGCAAATCTATAAGGAAGCCAGACAGCAGGATAATGGGAATGTGACCTCACTAGGTAAGGATAGGTTTACCACACATTTCACCATCCCTTACTCCAGTGATGGGAAATACATCATGGTCCTGCAGATGTTGCTGGACCACAGTTCTCAAAATCCCTCACTATTGACTGTGGTCCCAGGAGTTGATGGGCATTGCAGTCCAGTAAGAACTGGAGGACCACACCTTTCCAATGGTGCTCTGCTCTCTTCCCTCTATAGTTCAACACATTTGTTCCTGTGGGGTCCACACTTTGAGGGAAATTCAAACAGCAGAAGTATTATAGGATGGCTTCTAACAAGAATGTCAGCTTTTCTCTCTCATTAAAAAAAAGAGTAGTTGGTTGTCCTCTTTTCAAATTCTTTGGGATTTGGGACCCACTTGCTGACAGAAGGAAGTGTATGCTTGAACAGTATGGAAAATGTGCTTAAAACACACTAGTGTCTTTAAAACCTGCTTGATACATACTATATGACATTTCACCTGGGTAGAAATGTCATATAGAAATGTCATATAGTATGTATGTTTATCTTGAATGTTTCAGTATATTGAGGAATCTTCTGCTGAGACATTTGGCTCATGTACAGTGGTGCCCCACTTGACAATTACCCTGTTAGATGTTGAAATCGCTTGACGATGAGTTTTTTGCGATCACTCTAGCGATCGCAAAACGATGATTCCAGTGGTTTTTTTTTTCATTTTACAATGATCGGTTCCCTGTTTCGGGAATCGTTTTTTCACATTACAATCAGTTCCCTGCTTCAGGAACTGTTTTTTGACATTACGACGATTAAAAACAGCTGATCGTCGGGATTTCAAAATGGCTCCCTGCTGTTTTCCGAGCAGGTATTTCCCCCATTGGAATGCACTGAACGGTTTTCAGTGCATTTCAATGGGGTTTTTTACTTTCGCTTGACAACAATCTCACTTAACAGCGATTTTAATAGAACACATCGTTGTCAAGCGGGGCACCGCTGTAGTTCAGTATTGTCAGCTCTGACTTGCTACAGCTCCTCCAAGTTTCAGATAGATCTCTTTCCTGCATCAGATAGCACCTTTGAACTAGAGGCAGACATTTCCCCCCATGGTTCTTATTAATTAGTTGATTGTCATACTTCCCTCCTGTTTTTGTAGGGTTGCACCTTTTCCCCCGCCTCCTTGCCAAGAGGTTCACATTTGCTTTTTCTGTCTCGCTCAACAGGTGCCAAGTTTTTGGGAAGAGCTGGACAATACTTCCAGTGCCCAGACTGTGGGAAAAGGTTTAGGGGAGAGGAAGAACTGCGAGCTCACGGAGGCATCCACAGGAAGGACAGACCTCATGCCTGTTCTCAGTGTGGGAAAAGATTCACTCGCCCGTCAGGCCTAGCCAAGCACCTAAAAACTCATTCAGGAGAGAAGCCCTACCACTGTGGCCAATGTCCCAAAAGCTTCATTCAGATGTCGCACCTCACTAGGCATCAGAGAATCCACACTGGGGAGAAGCCCCACCCGTGCGCTGAATGTGGGAAACGGTTCAACTGCCCATCAGACCTGGCCAAACATCAGCACATCCACACAGGGGAGAAGCCCTTCCGCTGTGCTGAATGTGGGGCAAGATTTAACCAGTTCTCCCACCTCACAATGCATCAGAGAATCCACACAGGAGAGAAGCCCCACGCCTGCAGTGAATGTGGGGAAACGTTTAGCCAGCGGGCACATCTGACCAGTCACCACAGGATCCACACAGGAGAGAGGCCTTATCGCTGCAACTATTGCCAGAAGTGTTTCAGTCACCTTTCCGCTCTCACAGTACACAAGAGGATCCACATGGGCCAGAGGCCTTATGGCTGCCCTGAATGTGGGAAAAGGTTCATAGCTTCCTCTGCCTTAACTAGGCACCAAAGGACCCACTCTGAAGAAAGGCCTCACACGTGCAATGAGTGTGGCAGGAGGTTCAACCAGCTCTCTCACCTTCATAGGCATCGAAGGACCCATTCAGGTGAGAGGCCCCATAGCTGTACCGAGTGTGGGAAAAGATTCAACCAGCTCTCCTCTCTGACCAGGCACCAGAAGATCCACACAGGAGAGAAGCCGTATTCCTGTGAGGAGTGCGACAGGAGGTTTATCCGACTGGCTGATCTCATAATTCATCAGAGAATCCACACCGGAGAGAAGCCGTATTCCTGTGAGGAGTGTGACAGGAGGTTTATTCGACTGGCTGATCTCATAATTCATCAGCGAATCCACACTGGAGAGAAGCCGTATCGCTGTACGGAATGCTCAGAGAATCCACACCGGAGAGAAGCCGTATCGCTGTACGGAATGTGGGAGGAGGTTCAGGCAGAGACAAACACTGGTCAAACACCAGAGACTTCACCCAATAACAAATTCATAATGTATACGTACATATATGAAATAAAGCTAAGTTCTCCTGTCTTTGGGTTTATGTCCAACAAATGGATATTCTGAAGCCTCTAAAATGTTTAAAAGAACAGCAAGAGAGAGATGTAATTTCCGGTATCTCACATTCTCCTGTCATCCGATCTGTTCTTTTTGGTCCTACCAAGGAAACAGTTTTTTTTCCAGCAACAATTTTCAAAACTCCCCCTACACAAAAAAGAGAGAATTTTTCAGTCAGTTTTATCGTCAGATGGCCACACATGTACCGGAAGGGGCTCTCTTACATTCTGAAGGGAAAAAAAGGATCTATGGCTTTCCAAACATTTTGGCTTCAGCTCTGTTTTTAGATCTGGAATGGGACTCCAGAGGATAACTCCGTATCTGGAAGTAATGTAAAGTTGTTCCTCCAATACACACTTTTGTGCAAGTAGCACTCAATTAACTTGATTACGTAATGATCAGCTGACCGAATCCTGTTGCAAATTGGCTGTACAGTAGTCCTTCTGTACGCTAAGAATTGAATGGTGTAAGGAACCATCTGGGTTTGGTGCACCTGCTGCACATGCCCACCCTAGAAGACTGGACCTTCTCCTTAAAATCCTGTGGGGGAAAAAATAATTCCACTTTGAGGCAGGGTACATTGGCATCCAGTGTTAGAGTTCACCTATGAAATATGTCATGGGCTTACAAAATGGGCTGAATGTGTTCTGCCTTAATCATTTTAGCACTGGTAGAATAAGAGAAAAGGGCCTTACAGATATATGGGTTGTCTTGTTGGGTTAGCGAAAGGCTTGTCTAGTCCACGATCCTGTTCCTGATGGTGGCCAGCCAAATGTGTTCAAGTACCTCACACTGACCATGGTAAATGGCTGATTGTCCTTAGCATCTGCTGTGATCTAGCTTCCATGTTAGGAGGTAGAATTCCCAGGTATTTGAACACCTCTCCTGTTCAGAAGTCAAGTGAGAATGGTTCTGGACTCTGGGATTGTTGCATTTTATTTAAGAAAGTGTTTCAGTCTAAAACATTTCCCTACCAGTCTGTGTGCAAGTTCAAGAATGTAGCTATAGAGGCATGTGCTTAAAGATAATATTTTGAAGAAGGAAGAAGAAACTTGAAGTTGGTTGATGTGCTTTAAGGGCTGGAGGGAGACAAGCTGAGGTATATCTTCAAACAGAATCTTCCAGCCAGCACAAGAGCAGCCATGTTGGCTAGGTTATTCTGGGAGCTGTCGTCTTGAAAAGTAATATTTCTAGGCTCTGTCCTGGAGCCATGTGAGGGGGTGGGGTGGGGAACAATTACCTGTCACATTGAGGGGTGGACTGAGGAATCACTGAAAACAGCTTTCCTTATGAAGTGAAATAAATAAAATGGCTAGCTGCATTTCTGTGGTAATGAATTATTAAAGTATGGCTTGATTAACTAGAAGATTGCTTGGTTGATTTCTGTTTATTTATACAGCTTTGTTGTTACATACTGCCAAGTTGTCCCATCTTATGATTATCCCATGAAGGAGCAAACCTCCAAATTGTCTTCTCATTAACAGTCCTGCTGAGTTCCTCAAAAGCCAAGCTGGAGTTAGGAAGAAGTGTTGAGGAGAGGGTAAGAAACAATTATGGAGGCAAACCATTTCTTATTTGCTCTTTCTCTTACCCTATCAACGAATGACACCCAAAAGGTCCTGTCATTAACAGCTGTGCTCAGGTCCTGCAAACTCAAGACCATAATTTCCTTATTGATTCAATCCATCTCATGATAAATCCTCCTCTTCTTGGTTGTAGTGGTTTTTTTGAGCTGTTTGGCCATGTTCTGGAGGTTTTCCTTCCTAACATTTCACCAGGCTTTGTAGCTGACATCTTCAGAGGACATGAGCCAGAATTCTAGTTCCTGTCCTCTGAAGATGCCAGCCAGAGAGACTGGTGAAACATTTGGAAGAAAAACCTCTAGAACATGGCCAAACAGCCCGAAAAACCCACAACAACCATCAGATCCCAGCCATGAAAGCCTTTGAGAACACCTCCTCGTCTCCTTTTCCTGCCTTCCTCTTTCCTAGTATGTCTTGTCTTCTCATCATATGTCAGAAGTACAATAGCCGCAGTTTATCTATTTCAGTTTCTAGGGAGAATTTAGATTTGATTTAATCTACAGTCTACACATTTGTCTTTCTGGCAATCCCTGATGTTTTTAAAACTCTTCTTCAACACCACATTTCAAATTAATCTTTTCCCTGTTAGTTTTCTTTCTCTAGCTTTTATATTTATATATCATAATTGGGAATGCCATAAAGAGCTCCTTCAACATGTTCTCTTTTATGCACAGCTTAATGTGGCGAGAAGATCGGAGAGGGGCAGGAAAACAGCAATGCCATCGTGGGAAAACTCCTTTACAAATTCAGGCTTTTAGCAGGTTTGGCTAAGGTGGAAAGGTCAAAGCGAAGTCACTAGCTAAGATGCATCTGTCTTAAGGAATTAACAGTCCAATCAGCACAAGAGAACTGATGATTTCAGTGCTTATGGGGCAGAGACATTTCTTGAAGAGCAACTAGTAGATAGGACAGTAAGCAGTAAGTCAGAGTTCCAAGTCGTAAGATGAGTCTGAGTCACTGAAAAAATAACACCTAGTTGAGTTGAGTTGCCAGTGAAACTTAAGTCCGACTTCAGAGTCTCCATCCATGGTAGAAGGTGGCACTGATGGAGGATCTTACATAGATACTCAAGATGATTCTTGATAGTACTGTGCAGAAGGTGGCCATAGTAAACCACTTCTGAATATTTTATACCGGAAAAACTTTACAATGAGGGAAATGCTATGAATCTGTAAAATCATTTTGAAAACTGGATGCAGTTCTCCATGTTGCCAGTTGATGGTGCTACAGACCTAGTATATGGCATTCACTGGGTACTTGTTTTTTCTTTTCTTTTTTTGTCCCTTTGACAGTTTGACCTGTGTAGTCTGTTTCTCAGATAGCAAGCAGTTAGGTCTTGAATGTGTAAACACAGATCACAATTTCAGCAAGGCTCATTTCATTTCACATCCTCCAGGCCTGGTGGCAACAGCTCAGTAAAGTTAAGGCTGAGCAGTGGCACAGTTGGCCACGGGTGTGTGAAGAAATTCCCTCAGTTATTTGGATGGAAGGGTGTTTAGAAATATTCTTGTACCCTCTATACCATTTGCTTCCATGATTGTGTTCTTTGTGACAATCTTGCCAAAGTAGCTTCATACTGTGATAATAATACAAGCTGGAAGATCAGTATCATGCAACAGATAGCATATTGAATATTCAGAGGGAAAGCTTACACCAGATCTTTGTGTGCTATACAATGGTGGGCCAGGTGCCAACTATTAGTCTAACCCATCCCACAGGACTGTTGTGCTGATAACATGGGGGAATGAACCATATACAGTGGTACCTCGCAAGACGATTACCCCGCAAAATGGTTTTTTCACTAGACATTGACTTTTTGTGATCGCTATAGCGACTGGCAAAACAGTTTTTCCTATGGGGGATTTGCTGGACGATGATTTGGTCCATGCTTCGCAGACCGTTTTTTCGCAAGACGACGATATTTACAGCTAATCGGCAGCTTCGCAAAACGGCTTCCCTTTGGGCGATTTTTGCTGGACGATGACTATTTTCCCCATTGGAACACATTAAATGGGTTTCAATGCATTCCAATGGGGAAACGCTTTTCGCTAGACAATGTTTTCACAAGACAGCGATTTCAATGGAACGGATTAACATTGTCTAGCGAGGCACCACTGTATACCATTCCAAGCTCCTAGAAGGAATGATGGGATAAGAATATAAGCAGGGTCTTAATTCTGAATGTCAGAGTAAATTAAAGGTAATTATAACTTCATAAGGATATATCTAAAACAGTTTCACTTCTGATAGCCTACAAATCTAAGGCCCTGCAAAATAACAGTCATGGAACAAAACAGCCTTTTACTACAACTCCCAGCATACCACAGCCAGCCTGATTACAGGCATGGCTGCTGTGAGATTCTGGTAGCTGTAGCCCCAAAAATTTTTTCCAAGCTCTGGCAGTACCTACATTTGTATTGCTACCTGAAAAAGCTAATGGCAGTTGTCTGTTGGAAGCGTACTCTGGATCACTCAATGTTAGCCATGCCCTTATACATTTAGCCATGTTCTGACAATAATTTTATTTCTAAGATCAAATAATGCACAAGTACTTGGTAATATTTTACATCATTTTTCTCTAGGAATGCCAAGAGTGCACGATTTTTGGTCCACACAAAATACAGTACTGAATGTTTCCAGAGTTTCAGGCAACAGGAATCCTTTCCCAGGTCTACCTGGACATCTCTAGTGTTCTTTCCCAGCCTTACCCGGAAATCTCTGGTGTTCTCCAGTAATCTCTCAGCCCCTCTTCTTGCTTAGCTTTCAAAATGTAACAAAATCAAAGTGTGTTCAAATTGAAATGGCGGGCCTTCTGTACATACTGTATCAAGATATTGGTTTACCCCCTTTTCTCCAGAAAACTTTGCATCCCGTCCCAATTACCAGCTGGGTGTTGATCCCTGTTCTGTAGTTGTTGTTGTGTGTAGGTAATGACCAACAGAAAGTGCTCTTGCCAAGGTAAACAGTGCTTCCAAATTCTCAGCTGTTGCCTGGAGCTTTGTTAACCAGGAATGTGCCGCCTTACCTGGACAAGCTCCAAAGCAGCAAGACTGATAGCTGGCTTATCATGGGCAACATAATGAGGCAGAGGCCTTGCCCACTCTGGCTCAAGGGACAGGGGCCTCATGACCGGTGACCATGACAACAGAACAATTTTGATTCCAGAAGAGCAAACATAGGTGTTTATAGAGAGATAGTTGTCATAGATGCAGCTCCCCTCAGATATCAGGGAAAATTTGCAGGCCAGTGACACTGTCTATGTGAGAATATGTCATCTAATTAAAAGAAGGAGGGAAGGAGTCGGACAGTATTCATCTGTACAATTAAAAGACTATTGTAAGCTATTACATTAGCTTGGCTCATTGGCTTCTCCAACACAACTCATTCAAGCAGGAAAAACGTAACTGGGTACATTCATACAAGCAACACCCTCTGGACTGCGCAATGAAGTGGTACCATCCAAGAAAACCGTTACCACTTGATTGTGGTGCATTAATAAGGTATCCCAGAAGCACCACCAGACATCTTTGCATGTGAATTAAATAACAATGATACACAGCCTGTACATGAGTCAGGATCCACCATGTATACTAGCACAGACATCCACACCACATGCGATGGTGACAGACCATCTTTCTAGGTCTTCTTCTGTTCACATGTGAGACTACTTCTGAGACATCAGCTGCAAAAAGAGGGGGTGGGAACACCACTGTTTTTTGGTGGCTGAGTAAGTGGCAAAAAACACCCAGCAGCAATTGTCACCATTCCTGTTAGGGCTCACATCCTACCAGGTGATACACAAAATGCAAATGACATGGGGAGGCTTTTCCCGCCCAAGTTCTGTACTGCTGCCGGGAATTATGGGAGACTCACTGCCAACCTAGTGGGCATTTTCTTCTAGGTCCTGTGCCACTGTTCCCACGTAGAGTTTCCAGGCCAGTAGTAGCCCGTTTTCCTATATTTCAGGACCAAAGCTGAGAGTAGGGGCTGGAGGTCTGTAATATCTCAGCAGTACGGCAGGCAAGGCATGCCAGGAGGCAGAAGACCTTCTGGGCCAGCTGACTGTAGAAATGAGCATAAAGGGAATCCAGGTAAATTGGCTTAAAATCCAGGTAAAGTTCAACTAACTGAGCAATAGAGGGTGGCGGTGCTTTTGACAGTGAGAGATGGCAAAATACACCCACACCTGCAGCAGTTACAGCCCTTCCTATGAAGACCTCAGTCCCACACTATCTTATGTATCAAGCACATGACATTAGCAGAGCTCTTTTAGGCCCTGTGCTTCTGATGGGGTCTTTTGGAAACCTCACCATCAGCTCATGCAGAGTTTCTCTCCCACCTCCACCCCAGGGCTCATACTACTGCTGACACAAAAAGAAACCTCTTAAGCTGTAGTGCTGGTGCTCCACTCCCTGCCTCGAACCAAGGGGAACAGTGGACTCATGTGCAACTCCCTCCTCAGTCCCCTCTTCTCATTCCTGTTTTCTTTCACCGTGCCAATGTTGCATACACTGATACAACTTTGTCCCGAAACGGTGAGTCCAAGCACTATCAGGAAAGTGCTGCCCAGACTTTAAAACCACTTCAAATACAAAATCAAACCTTGTTCTTCTCCAGCTTTGCTCATCTTCAGATTTGTCTCCCTATCTGGAAACCTTGGAAACCAAAGCAATGGAAACTTCAGCCAACACTCCTGGCTAATCTATTTGGAAAGAACCTTTAACCTCCGCCCCTTCTATGTCTTTTCTTTTCAAAATGTATTGCTCTAGCGTCCACTTTTCTGCCTTCCTGTTTCCAGGACCTGAACTTTCCGGAAAGGGAGGAAAAGTGACTAGGACAAGGAAATGTGGGAGGGAAACTGTCGGTGAAGAGAAGTTTACTACTCCTTTCCTCTAACTTCTGTTTATTACAGAAAATTCCTTCCTGATTTTATATACGAACGAGGTAGAAACATGATGCTCCCATAATCTCTGGTTTAATTAACTGAAATGGATATTAGAGGGTGGGAGTTTGCTTCCTGAAGCAAGTGTTTTACTTGATTTCATTGTGAGGCCAGCCGTATTGAAGAGGTCTAAATGACTTGCGCAGCTGATGGTGCGCTGCGCACAATGCCCTGTGTGGGGGTGCCTTGGGAACACCTTTTTTCCCCATCAAAGACACCCGAGATTTCACTGCTGCCTCAGTGGGACCTCTCAGCTACGGAACCAAAACAGGAGTTTCACTTTCTCCCTTCCCTGTTAAAGCACCAAACTATTTCAGCAAGTGACTCTCCATGGAAACCCAGCCCCAACAAACAACTTACTGCGCACCTGCCTGTTTAAGCCCTCCGGCCCTTCCCCAGAGGCAGCTTGCTAGGACATCAATAAGCCACCATTGGCAGAGATCAAACCACAAGCTAGGCAAAAGGCTGCCAGGAAACAAGGAAAGGTCAGGGCGCATCTGTATCCTGTTTAAGGGGCAAGATACCCACAGGCAGGTCGGTATAATCCCTGTGGAAACAGGTGGCTCTTCTTCACAAGATTGGCTGCTAATGAACTGGTAATGCTGCTAATGATCCTGCTGCTACACAGGATCTTCATGATGTGGGGTCTGTAAAATGCTGAGTTTTAGGCTCATTCTCAAACTCATTTCATACGAACTTAGTCAGCAGCTAATATCATATAACCCTTTAAAAAGAGTGAATAAACAGCCCATGTACCTACCAACACCACCATTTTAAGTCATGCCTTAGGGGGGAAGTTGCCAACTTACTTGCAATTGGAGTGAAGAAACTGGAGGAAAGGAGTTGCTTTAGATAAATTAGCACAGAGTGCAAGGTAAGCAATTGTGTTTACAACACCAGAATGTGAACTCCTGGGTTGTTGTTTTTCTTTTTTTTTTCCTCTATACTAATTCATCATATTCAAGGCACCATACCAACATACACCCTAATTGAAAAGATTTATAATAATAATAATAATCATGTGTTGTCAGGTCAATTCTGACTTATGTTTATCCATTTCAGGGTTTTCTAGGCAAAGAGTACTTCAGAAGTGGTTCACAATTCCTTTCTTCTGGGGGCATCCTGGAACTATACAGCTTGCCCAAGGCCACACAGGCTGGCTCTTCTGAGATGCACAGCGGGAAACCGCATTCCCAACCTCTGACTCTGGGCTCTTCTGAGATGCACAGTGGGAAATCGCATTCCCAACCTCTGACTCTCACTGACCTATCCAGCCAGCTATTACATTTCTACCCCACCTTTTTTCTGTCTCCTCTGCCCTTTATCATGATAGAACCCTATGAGCTATGTCAGTCTGAGGGACTGTGACTGGCCAAAGGTACCATCTCCTGTATTGTGGCTGAATGGAAATCTGAACCCAGGACTCCTGAATCCTAGTCTCCTGTACCCTATCCCTAATTCTTCTACACACGGGGGGTGGGGGAGAGATAGAAAGAGGGAGAAGTAGGATATGGTTCTGTCTAAAATAATACCTATTAAGATGTAATGGCCTTAAAAGTACTTTTAGAAGCAGGGAAGAAAGGCAGGGAATAACTACCACTGCCTCTGAAAAAGATACCTTACTGATACACAACACATACAGCTGCCACTGAGGAGGCCATTCCCTACTTTAGGAACCATAACTGAAAAGGCCCTCTTCTCTTGTCCCCAACTTCAATAAAGAGAAGGATCCCGTATGTAAACAAATCTCAAACAGCTTCATATAAGGAGACAAATGGCTTTGTGTAAGAGAATTTCGATTATATGGCGAAAGAGTAGAAGCTGCCCCAAAGCAAGGTTTCTCCACTAAACTTTGGAGCCTTTATTCCATAGACATGAAAACAAGAAACTTAATTACAGTAAATTTGTCTTTCCCAATCTGCTCCATACAACATTGTCTTGACAGTTAAAATAGTATCAGACTGTTAGTAACTATGCAGTGTAGACATATTTTGTCATATTAATTGCCTTATATATATATTTTAAAAAATCTGTTTTCAACTAACAAGCGATTGAGTTCATTCTCTTACAGAACTGTTGTCCAGCAATTTCTTGCTTTAATAGGCCTTTGACATTCCCTTTTTTTCAGCAATGGTTACCGAGGTGATTGGTAGCACATCCTGAATAGCTGAAGTGTTTCTATGCTGTCATTTGTATACTTACAATTCCCAACGTCAGATTTGTGTCCATTTATGCTGATGCAAGCTGCATCCCCAATCACTTATAACATAGTACATATATTAGCCTTAAAGGACATTTAGGTACCTTTCTTTTCTTTTCTTTTTTAACAGACTGCTAAGTACTGGTACTGTTGTCAAGCAATGACATTGATGTTGAAATAAGTCTGAAATGCCATTACAGCTAACATCTATATATGAAAAGGGGAGAAGGTACCATGTTGGTCCTTCCCTTCCAGAGAAAAGTGTCTTGGGTCAGTCCTGATAAAGCACTTGTGTGAACCAAACCAAGGTGTGCAGAATGTGGACCTGGAGGTATTAACTCTGGCCTTCTCCAGATGGAACAATTTGTCCCTATTGTACACAGATGATATTGGTATTTTCCCCCCACCAAGATTACACAAGGCTTAAATTGGTACCATCAGTGGCTATGAGGCTGGCTGTACTGTTTGGCCTGCTGCAGGAACAGATTGGCTCCTAAAGATGGTGAACAGACAACATCTTTGCTGAAGCAAACCTTTTTTTTGTGAGCCATTTATAAGACAGCCACTTCAGGACACTGGTACATTAATCACTTCCTCAGCTGCATGGAGGGGCCAAATAAGTGGGGGGAAATTAAGTGTATACTAGAGCAGTGAATATTTGCTACACTACCTTTAAAAAAAAAACAAATGCAAATATTCCTCCTGGAAGCTTTTTGTTTGCTTTTCTTTTAACTGTCCGGCCAAGATCCTACCGATTCAGTGCTCGTGTGGCAAAAGTTTCTTGGGCCAGAAGCTTCCCATTTAGCAATAATCTATTAAAACCACCACAACAACAATATCCAGCAGAAGGGAATACTTCTAGGGGTTTTCTCAATTTAAAAAAAAATGCATTTAAAGATAGAAGATTTCCAAAATAGATTAGCAAGTGATATCTCCTTCCAAGGGCATCAGCTTTCGATACTGATCTACTAAACCAAACAAACCCTCTCTTCCCCCCCCATCAGAAAAGACCTTCTAACAACAACAACAACTTTCCAGCATCCAAAAACCCATGGGAACATTAGGAAGAGAAGGTGTCAGAAAATTAAGTCAAGAAATCTTGTTTGATTTCCGGATACAAACTGATAGACACCCTGAACATAACACACCAGATATAGTAGTAATAGAACAAAAAAAAAAAAGGTCTGGATCATTAACATTGCAGTTTCAGGGGATGCCAGAGTTGAAAATGAAGAATTGGAAAAACTAAAAAAGTACAGATACCTGGCAATCGAAACATCGCGCCTCTGGATGAAACACACTTCAGTGGGCTCTGTATTGGGGCTTTGGGAACAATATGAAGAAATTTCACACAGCACTATCAGCAGCTGCAGATCTCAGAAATAACACCATTAGAGCTACAAAAATGGCAATATTAGGAACAGCATACATACTGAGGTGATATTTAGCAGATATTTAGGGTTTTGGTTAAAATTTGTATCTGCTATATAGTACCAGTAAATGTTTGTATAATTTTGATTCACTGTGCCTTGTATTTTTGGGGAAACACGGAAACAGGAAGGGATCAAGTAGCACACGAGAGGGACAAATGCTTTGTTTGGATGTGCTCTCGATGGGGTTAGGATTGGAATGGCTGGGCCGCGTGATCTATCTTGTTTGGCCTGACACGTCTTGTCCCATCAAAACTCAGCCACCTCTCCCTTGAAGAAGAGAAAAGCACCCATCTTACTTTCCAAGAACATCTGGGACAGATATATATGTAAAAGCAGCTGGGCAAGCAGAGGTAAAAATAACCTTGATAAGTAGCTGCTAATCCTGCCCCGTGGAACTGCCTGGACTCCAGAGCTCTGACCTTTTGGGGCAGACCAGTGTCGAGGAGGAGATGGGGGTGGGTTGGTCTGTTTCTCTGTTTATGTGGCTGGAGTAAACCAGATAGGAAGTGGTGGCTATAAAAGGCTCCACGAGGATCTACATGCAGCAGCTACCAGACATACAGACAAGGCAGGGTCAAAGAGTCAGTCAATCATCAACACAGCCTTGAAGGGAAAGACAGAAAGTGCTCTGGCTTCATTGTGGCAGGTAAGCAGCTGTTTTAGGGAAGGGGCATGTAAATTGCTATTTGAACTTCCCGTGACTGTAATGCAAATGTAAAACTTACAAGCTAAGAAGTGCAGATGATTTTAAAGCCTTCTTCTTTTTTACTTTCTGTCTTGCATAAACAGTATTTAAGGTAATTGTCTGTCTTCTGTTCCTTAAATTGGGCTAGCAGAACAGAAGCTGTACATGAGGATTCTTTATACTCTTAAATTTTGCATGACACTACCCTTAGTAAAATCAGTTCTGGTGCTTTTTAAAACAGTTCCACATTATGGGAATGTGTTTGGTGTGAAATGGTGACTCCAAAGTACCTGTAAATTCAGAGTTTGCAAAAGGTTCTGCTTGCAAACTGCAAGCTGGATGCTTGCAAACTGCAGTCTGGGGAGAAAAAAGATTTCTCTGTCCCAAGCTCTGTTTAAATTACAGCGCCCTTCCTGTCCTACCCATCAGAGTTATTAAGCCTTCCGTTAATGTGAAAGCTGAAACATGCCCGCCTATAAATCCCTTCCTCTATCCTACAAGTGTCTTCTCTCAAATCCCAGCTAATCCAGGCATTGGATGTGACTGCACCAAAGAGGTACTCTGCACGCAATCAGAGGCACTTCTTCATATTTTCCATGTCTGAATTCCAACAATGGAAACCCTTTTGCCATCCATCTTCTATCCAGCTGGCCTAGGATTTTGTACTTTGTGCCTCATTTTGTGACTAAATTCATGCCAACTGGCCAGCATGTGGCTATCCTTCAAAGGCAATCACAGCCCAACATCTGAGCTCTCGGCTTATGTCAACTGTTTGGTATAGTCATCTCTGAACCTTTGCCAAAGGTATAACGATACCCCTCACGAGGGAATACATGCAGTTTCAGAATGATGGAAGGGCAGTGAGAGTGGGAAGAGAAGAACTATGGCATTATCATGCAACAAATGACTATACACTCAGGCACCGTCTTCAGGATGAAACAATTTGCTAAGGTCTGTGTCATCATGCAAATTGGAACATATTTACCACACTTCTTCATGTATTTGAAATTTGGCAAAACTCTCCTCAACTTGGCATTGGTTATCTGTGTTCATCCACCATGTGGCAAGAATTTGACCACACAGCTACATTCAGATGAAAATCCAGAAGAAAAAGGGAGTGCTCAAATTCTCATCCCTTTGCATAGTATTACCTCATGGTAATAGCCATCTTTCAGCCACACTAGAAGCAGCCAGGCAGCAATGTGTACGTTATTCACACATCTCCACATTCATTCACATGTAAAGTATGTTATGGGACCTGTTTTTAAAAATCTGAAATAGAGCCCACAAACAAGACAAGTGAAAAATGACTGCCTTTTCTACCTTATCTAACTGTGCATCGCAACTTGGATCAATTTCTCCTCAGCCTAACTGCTTTGAATTATTTTAAGTGTCATGAAACAGCAGTAAATAGCCGATTATTTACAGTAGTTTGTTACTCTTTACAATTAGTTCAGTGATTTAGGTATCGTGCTCAAGAGACAGAGTTCGATTCCCTCACTGTGCCTCCTATGAGAAGAGCCAGCCTGTGTGGCCCTGGGCAAGCTGCACAGCCTCAGCGTGCCTCCAGACACGGGGAACAAGAAACCACTTCTGAGTATTCTCTGCCTTGAAAACCCTGAAGAGGGTCAACACGTCAGAACTGACCTGATTACACATCATCAACATCATCATCATTACATTTTTATTGTTATGGGGGGTTGCTTTCATAATTTTTTACTCAGTATGCCAAATCATCTCACCCAGCTATGGCAGCTTCAGATCTTCATTTGGAGGGGGAAACGTACGTATATTTGCTCCTTTACCTCCTGGCAGCTTCAGATCTTCATTTGGAGGGGGGAAACGTATATTTGCTCCTTTACCTCAGGGAGCAAAATGTACAGAGGAGCCCTAGGAAGAAGAATATTTATATATAGTTGCATTTGATTAAAAGAGACTAACTGGCTGTCTCGTCAGAACTAATTTGTCACAGTATTTATCCTCTGTTGTGAGGAAACTTATACTACTTAATTTTTTTCCAACCAAAAATGTGGAGGGAAAAAAAGGAACCATAACCATGGTATTCCTTGTGAGACACGGCTTCTAGGAAGTGGACATGAGAAGTATATTATCACTTGGCCTATGGTCGTCTGTACTCGATCCAAGTCTCTCTCTCTCTTATTCAATCTGTCCCTCTCCCTCTGCAGCCATGAAGCTAGCATCTACCGAGATTTCAAAGCGACTGGAAGAGATGATCCTACTGACAGCTCAGAACCTGCCTCAAGTGGAGGTAGCTAAGAGTTACACCATCCTTCGAGAGCTGGGCAGTGGTTCCTTTGGACATGTTTTGATGGCAATCCACCAGTGCAAAGGTGTGTCAGAACCCAAGAAATTATAGAGGGATGGGAAAAACTAAGAAATAGTCACTGTGCTTCCCAACCTTGGATCCCCAGATGTTCTTGGACTACCACTCCCAGAAATCCCGGTCAGTGTGAAGGTTTCTAGATCCCAGAAATCCTGGTCAGCACACCTAGTGTGAAGGTTTCTAGAAGTTTTAGTCCAAGAACATCTGGGGACTCAAGAAGGCTGGGAGGTAGCAAGCAGAGAAGGCTATTCTTGTTATGTGTATTGTGCTTCTTGTTCTCTGCTATGGAGGAATGAGAACCTGTCCTAGCCCATCCAGATACTAGCTTTTAGTGAAGTAGTAACCCTATTTTTCAGTTAGATGGTATAGCTTAGCGGGTTGGAGCATTCAGTTGCAGAGCCAGAGAATGGGAATTCAAATCATCACTGTGCCTCCTGGGAGTGGGAACAGCTGAGATTATCCAGAGGTGTCTACCACCTCTATGGCCTTGGACATGCTGTATGGTCTCAGAGCACCATCAGAAAAAGGCGCTGGCAAACCATTTCTGAGCACTTTAGACCTATGAGAACTTGGGAGTCAGGACACAAGCAAGCTCGTACAATTTAATATTCCTTCATGCACTTTGCCCCCTCAAAATGCCTGCACCCAGAAAACTGCTACATCAGAGACAAGATTAGAATTTTTCTCCCTGCGATGCCAGCTTAGTATAAGGATTTTTTAAATGAATATTAGGGCCATGTGATTCCTCTCTTACCTTCTGAAATGATGCAGTCCCCTCATATGTCTTTCACCTTACTGGCTGTTTGTGGACCACCGTTTGTGCAGGGGTAGTCTGTGGTGGCAGTGGCTGGATTGTCCTACCCACAAGTTTTGGGGCGAGCTCCCGCTAGACCCCAGACAGTTCTGTCTATAGTGTCAAACAGAACTGACTCTTTTCCTTCTGTCAATTAGTGGTGTTGTGTCAATTGGACTCCTACTGTTCCACCAGAAGGGAGAGGCTTAAAGGGTGGTATGTTGGTAAAGTGGCAGTTGGAAGGTGACAGTTGGACAGCTGGGGTGAGGGAAGTTCATAGACAGCTGACCAGAGCAGCAACCTCTGACTGTCTGTCTGTTTGCTTATTTAGTATACTGCCCCATTAGTGCAAAGCACTGTTCTGGGCAGTTTACAACATAATAAAATAAAGAACACCAGCAAAGGATAGTAATTTGTTAAATAAACCAATCAAATAAAATTAACACTACATACAATCAGAGGCATGATTTTCCAAATAAAAGGCATAGCAAGTGTGTAAATCAAGCAGGGTTGCATTGAAAGGCTCTCCGAAGAGCAATGTCTTCAGAAGCCTCCTAAACATTTTTACATGCTTTATATGGTATTCTGAAGAAAGCTGTTGTTTGTTCTACTGTCCTGAAGAAAGCACATTATTGTTTCTAGGAGTTCCCTTCCAAACAGAGGGAAGTATAATATTCATTTCCATTCCCCAAGAATCTGGGATGGAGAAACAGGAAGCCCTATGGAGTGTTAATATGTTACACAGATCTCTCCATCTTCCACGTGTAACCCATGCATTCTTCCATCATTTTACACACAAAAATCCATTAAGAACAAAATGATGGGCTACACAATATGTTTTTTGCTTTCCAATATTTGGGGGTATTGCTCTAGCTCAATATCCTATACCCTGTTTCCCTGAAAATAAGTCCTAACCTGGAAATAAGCCCAGGTACGATTTTTTAGGATGCTTGTAATATAAGCCCTACCCCCAAAATAAGCCCTAGTTAAGTGAAATCCTACCCTCCACCATTGTAGAGCAATCAGAAGAAGATAACATGACTGTATTTGTAGATTGTTGTACAGTACATGAAAAAAATGAAACATCCCCTGAAAATAAGCCCTACTGTGTTTTTTGGAGAAAAAATTAATATAAGACCCTATCTTATTTTCAGGGAAACAATGGTAGATTTTAGATTATTCTTCTTCCTATTAATATTTCCATGTGTTATCCATAAAACTGCAAATAATTGCTGCTGTTCATTTCCACAGCAGTTCTCAAAAGCAACAAGATCTAAGTTGTGACTGATGTGCCTCATAGAAATCAGTAACAACTAATTTAGGTTGCAATCTTGGTGATAAACCAAAATGAATTTGATACAACTTACTTCTGGGTAAACACACAAATGATCCAACCCAGTAAATTTCAACAGAGAGCATGTTATTCTTATGTTAGAAATAATTTTAGTTATTATTTAGCTAATTATTAATCTATGTTAAAATCTGCTTTAATTTGTACTTTCCAAAGTAAGAGACTGTGTGTTTTACTTTTTCCCAGTGGTAGGGTCTATGTAAAATTATTAGAAAAGACCTAGAAAAACAACAACAACTCTAAAGCATATTAGACTGGAAGCTTATTACGCAATTACTCATAAACAGAACTTTATCCATGTGATTTTACACTACAACAGCAGTGTGGGGTTCATATGTATGCAAAGCTAGGTGGTTTAATCTGAAATGTGGAGAAGTCAAACTCCTCAACCCCTCTCTTCTCTTACATGAAACAGTTGCTTCAACTTTTCCTCTTCTCTTGCAGGAACGCCCATGGCACTGAAGTTTGTACGTAAGAAAGACACAGAACTGCAGGATTTCCTCAACGAATACTGCATTGCATTGACATTGGGAGCCCATCCTTGCATTGCCAATGCCCTTGGTATTGCTTTCCAAACTCCCAAACACTACGTCTTTGCGCAAGAGCTGGCATTGGCCAATGACCTCTTCTCTCTCATGGTACCAGAGGTAACCAACCAATCGAGCATGGGTGCAGTGATTTAGTTAGACTGATAGTGGGGTATTGCTCCCATACTTTTAAAAACAAGTGTAAGACATGAGTTGGAGGGAAGAAGACCTAAAGAAGTGCAACATTTCTCCTCATCTCCCTCCCTCTCCTTTGTCCAATCCATGCAATAGGGGGGGAAAACCTACTCATAACATCAGCAGCAATAAAAGTGCCTCTGAGCATGTACAGAGGGCCTTTCACTCTGCACTAGTCCCTCCATGCAGCCTACTCATCAGAACTTGTACAGCTCTTTCCTTCTCATTATGGCTGGTTTAAGTGTTTCACACCCTACCTCTCAGACGTCAGTAAAGGAATGATCACAGTTATCCTTTCTGACAGGTTGTCAGTATGATTTAATAAATACTGATCAATTATCTATGTTTTAGCTGCTACTATTAAATCTGCACATGTATGCAAACAATACTTGAAGCAAGAAGCACACTTTCATTTTTTGTTAATATACACAAATGTAACATTTTAGAAGAAACTATCCTCTAAGGCAGTGGTTCCCAACCTTGGGCTTCCAGATGTTCTTGGACTACAACTCCCAGAAGCTTTCACCACCATCTCTGCTGGCTAAGATTTCTGGGAGTTGAAGTCCAAGAACATCTGGAGGCCCAAGGTTGGGGATCACTGATCTAAGGTATCATCTTGGAAGAAGCATTATTCTGTGGATGGGCAATGGGATAATGCCTCACTGAAGATGGTACTCAACACCATATGATAAGCATCTACAGACAAGCTCTGCTTTCTAATTACAGTAATGAGTTGATTTTCCTAGTGAAACTTAGATAAAGTGGGGCAACTACCTCAGGTGCCTGCTGTTGGGCAGCAGCAACAACAGGCGCACCGGTCTCTGGGTGCATTTTCTAAATCCTTCAGTCATTCCCTTCTCTTGGAAGACAAAGGTGTGTACTATAAAGCTTCTTTTGATTCCCCAAATTTGCCTACTGTCCTTAGGTGCGATGGACGATGCTACCCCATTGCTAATACTAATGTAACATTAAGTAGACTCTCAAATCTGTTCCTTTATATGGAATGGTGAATAGAATGCATTAACGAGGTTTTAATGCGTTTCAATGGCTTTTTTATTTTCGCTTTACGACATTTTCGTTCTACAGCGATTTCGCTGGAACGAATTAACGTCGTAATTTATTTATTTATTTATTTATTTATTTATTTATTGCATTTATATGCCGCCCATCTAGACATAGTCTACCCTGGGCGGCTCACAACATATATACATTCTTGTCCTTTGACTCAAGGTAAAAAAAAAATCATTTTGGGCCATTTCTGCCAAATGTATTGCTGTACTATGCCCCATTACTTTCTGGTCAGACCTTGTTTGAGGGTGCCAAAGAACAGAGGAACTAAGATCTAAGGGGAAAGCATGTATATTTAGACATGTCTCTGGCCATTGATCCACTGATGAGGAAGTGCTGCATATTTAAAAAGTATTTTAAACCTTTTTAATTCAAATGCTTGTTTTAATTTGATAACCCATCTAACCCTTATTATAACTGTAACCTATTATGTTTTTTTAGCTTTTGCTATTTTTAAAATCCATGTTCCAATCTTGCATCTTGTAAAAGAGAAAATCAACATATAAATTAATAATAAATTAAACTTTTCCTCCAGGTTGGTGTGCCTGAGCTGCGGGTAAAACGCTGTGCCCTTCAGCTTGCTAGTGCCCTAGACTACATGGAAAGCAAAGGGTTGGTTCATCGTGATGTCAAGCCCGAGAATGTGCTGCTGTGTGACCCTGAGTGCCGTCACATCAAGCTGACTGATTTTGGACTAAGCTGCCCGCGAGGACAGGCCATTGAGGCCTTACCAGAGAGCCTGCCCTACACAGCACCTGAGTGGTGTGCCCTGGGCCCTAAAGCTCGCATTGAGGCCCAACCCAGCCTTGACACTTGGGGTCTTGGAGTAATGCTGTTCTGCGTATTAACTGGCTATTTCCCCTGGCTCACAGCGGCATCTTCTGATCGGTACTATAGCAGCTTCATCTGCTGGCAACGCAGTCCGCGCTTTGCCCCGCGCCCACCGCACTGGGAGCGTTTCACCCCTCAAGCTCTAGAGATGTTGCAGGGGCTGTTGAAGCCCAACCCAGCTCACCGCAGCCCAGCCAAGGAGGTGATAAATTATGTCAAATCACCTTGGCTGCTGCCGGAGGTCAAGAGCTGCATTAGGCCAAGCACTAGTCGACGGTGCTAATGATTCAGGCCTTCTCCATGGAGAACATGGCCCCAAACCCAAACGTCAGATTAGCAACTGAGGGACCAAAGACATTTTTTATCACCAAAGAGACCTCACTCTTCTTAGGGATATAAGGAAAATATAGCCAAACTGTCACTTTCAGGAAACAAAGAAAGCTGGAAGCAAAGACAAAATGATTCAGGGATTGTCCCCCATCACATGTGACACTGTTTTAGGAATATTGCTCTCCAAACCCATCTTAGCTCTGCATTGGAAATCCAAATACTTGATCTCAGCCTTTTCTTCATCAGTGGTAAATCACCAAATTCTTGAAATAAAGCCCAGTGGAAAGAAACCAAATGTACATTTAATGGATCCCAAAGCCTTACTATCTCTACTCTGCATTTTAGTTAAGATCAAATGAAGCCAACTTAAAATAGTTTGTGAATGAACATTTTGGAAACTAGTAACCCTGCTGAACCCACTGAGCTGTTCTTGTTTACGTAGCTAAGCAGGGTCAGGCCTAGTTAGTCCTCCGATTTGAGACCACCAGGGAATACTAGGAATTTCTAGGTATACCATTTTGATGTGGAGCTTGCACAGTTATCTGCAGAAGATGACACAAATGTAGAATCTGAAAGTGACATCATTGTAAATCTACCATGCCTGCCACTTGTTTTATATTCTGCTGTCCTATTGATTCATTTTGTACATTTGTAAATAAATAATATTACAAAGATGGTTGTGTGTTGTCAGTGTTCTGCTTCCAAAAGCAAAGAGATTTTGTTATGGATGATGGGAATATTCTATTGCTTGAGGAATGGGAGAGTAAAAACAACAGCTATACACTTACAGACTGATCATCAGAGATACGACAATTCAGCCAAAGTCTAAATCAAATCTACACAATTCACCTACATGTTCGTTCCTATTATAACCAGGACAGCATTCCTGCCTGTATCCTTCTACACACTCTCTGCCTTTACTTGCCATGTCTCTCTAGTCTCTTGTTCATCTAAATTCCCTAGTCTCTTCTACGGATTGCAGGTCATCCATCCTTGGTAGAGTCAATCGGAAACCTTTTCCCAAGCCCTCTTTCACCTTGTTTCCGTTTCAGATAGTTCTCCCAAAACTTTGCTTCTTAGATTGTGACTACTCACACAACTGAGTCAGTAGCTGAATGCTACAACAATAGTACCTAGCCTTGGACAACCCAGGTGTTCTTGGGCTGCAATTCCCAGAAACTCTCCTCAGCACAGCTGCTGAAGGACCGCAGTCCAAAAACACCTGGGTTACTCAAGTTTGGAAACCACTGTTCTACACATACTGAAGCACACACACTGACAGCACCAGTATAGCACCTTTTCTAGTTTTTGGTTAGAGGCATATATTTAACCTGAGGTAGCATTCACATTATGTCACACTCGTATTGCAAGGAAAGTACTACAGTATTTTTTATCATCTTTTCTACCACCTAAGCATTTACTTCATTCTTGTGTATGTACAGAACAGTGTTTGGATGAGTTAAATTGTTAAAGTACTTTCATACCTCTCTTTTCATTTAGCTTCCCACCTCACTAATTCTCTAGAAACCTCCAATATGAAGCAATTTTTAGAATGTTATACTGGAACTGCAGAGGCCCAAGTTCTAATCTGCACTGAGCTATAAAATGCACTGTTCCATCTGCTGGTCCAGTCAGCCTGATCTACCTCACAAAAACGTAGTGAAGACAAAAAGGAGAAAGTGATAGCAATGTGTCCTGCTCAATAGAAAAGTACAGTGGTGCCCCGCTTGACTACGATAATGCGTTCCATTAAAATCGCTGTTAAGTGAAATCGTCGTCAAGCGAAAGTAAAAATCCCACTGAAATGCACTGAAAACCGGTCGATGCGTTCCAGTGGGGGAAATACCTGCTCGTCCAGCAAAGATCCTTCATAGGGGAAGCCATTTTGCATCGCTGTCTTCCGGAAATAGGTACAGAAAACAGCGGGGAGCCATTTTATAAACCCGACGATCAGTTGTTTTTAATCATCGTAATGGGAAAAAATGGTTCCCAAAGCAGGGAACTGATCATCGTAAAATGAAAAAAACCCATTGGAATCATCGTTTTGCAATCGCTATAGCGATTGCAATAAACTCATTGTCAAGCAATTTTGACGTCTAATGGGGTAATCATCAAGCGGGGCACCACTATAGTGGGAAACAAATATAACCAGTAATTTTTTAAAAACCCAACAAAACATCATTTTACTAAATCGTAAACTGAAAGAAAATGGAAGTGCAGTCCAGTCTTCTACCCAAAGGCAGAACCAGAGTCCTGAACACAGTGTTCCAGAAGCAGCAAGATTATGTATCATTAATGGATATCAGTTGACCAAACTACTCAACACTTCATCCAGTAGTCAGCATATTTTCTAAGCAGAGGCAAAAAAATCTGAAGGCAAGCAAAGAAAGCTTGCTGGAAGGCAGTTGTAATTATTTCCACTCAACAAGATGGACTGTTGTCTTTTTAAAATGTGGTGTGCAGTGCACATCTGTTAGACGCTAATCTCATCATTCTCTATAATAGTAACCTCATGTATAAACCATGCAAACCAATGCCAATCATTAGACATGATGAACACTTGTGAAGCAACATGCTGTTCTTAGAAGAGGTTCCTTCTATAACATGAGGAAGTACACACTTGGTCCATACCCTGAGGAGCTTTCTGACTTCTTGAACTGTGTCTAGCTTTAGACTCCATATGCTACAAGACATATGGGCACTGAAGAGCAGCTGTAACTGGAAACGATGAACAAGCGGCCAGTTTGGCTGGGACTCTTGCGTTCTCTCACACACCTCCTAAATATAATCCTCTGCTGAAGATAGGCACAGCAGGTGGGTAAGAGAAAAATACTCCACCTTTCTCTGTTGCTGCTTCGTTCTCTTCTCCCTTTTCTTCATTCTCTTGAAAAAAAAGCTCAAATTTGAAGTCACAGAATCATTAGGAGAATTATGTTCAGGACTATGTGAATTTCTGCACATCCATGACAAATTTGCATAACCACAGAATATAGTATTCGACACTGAACTAGATTATTCCCAGCAGGACAACCCAAAGATTCAAGCTAATTTTTCTAGCTCACATGAATACAGGGATAATCTTGAACATTTATGAACAGTGCACAGAGAAAGTCACAGGTAGGATAAGTTACTTTTCAGCTAATAGTCAAATAAAAGTTGGGAAAGACACAATTCAGATTTTTAAGGGTTGTTTTTAAATACACAAACACACAGACAGACAGACAGACAGACAGACACACACACACACACACACACACACACACAGAGTTTTGACTATACAGTGCTCAGGCTGCAATGAAAGAACATTGGTTGAAGTATGTGCTCCAAAGCATAGGAAGGCAAAAGGCAAATGTCTGAATTGACATGAGAACATTTAATTTCACAAGACTTGCAGTAATGTTACTAAAAAGGTGAGGTGTTTCATGTCTTTTGCTTTGCTAGCAATTTCTAGAGAAGAGAGAAAAGAAAAGAAACAACAATCAAGGATATTGTTGTGAGGAGGATTAAAACCTTTTCAACATGTTCTCAGCTATTTTACCAAATGTAATCCATGTAATTGGGCAGTGATTGTCAAGAACGGTTTGGGACCTCGTTACCTGACGAAGCGTCTCTCCCTGAGATGGTCCACTTGTGCCACCTGATCCAGTCAGTTCTCGTGTTTGCATGTGGTCACCCCTAGAAATGTCCAGAAAACTACCATCAGGAACTGGGCCTTCTTAGGGGTGGCCGCAATGCTATGGAATGCACTTCCTGCCTATATATGCTAGGCTCCCTCCTTTATAGCCTTCAGAAAATGGGTGAAACTTTATTGTTTGAAGAGGCCTTCAGGAACATCTTAGCCCTCTGACAACCTTGTGGTTACATGAAGTGGTTATTGTTCTGATAGGCCGCCCAGGTTACTTTTTGTTAGATATTTGGGGTTTAAATATTTTTGGATCTCACTATTTATGTCTTGCGAGTGGAGATGGGTAGCTGGGGTTTGTTTTTAAATGTTGATAGGCACAAGGAGTAAATGGGCAGGGTATAAATGTAATGAATTCATGGAATAGGAGAAGTAGCTTTTATGTATATGATAACTTATTCTTCAAAACTGTTGGTTACAGGTCAAAACATCCCATACTGAGGGAAATAACATCTCTGTTTCTTCCTCCATGCCCACCAATTCTCTGTCACCACCTTTCCTTTAAATGCCATCAACATATTTTTGGCTATTGGTGACTGGCAGCCTTCAGAGGGAATAGTAATACCAGGGAGTCATAAAACAGTCAACCCTAGCAATGAATTACAGGATCTGGCAGGGCTACAAAAGTCATGTTGAAAACATAGCAAACTAATTAAAGTCGATACCACCACTACCCTGGTTGATTTCAAAAAGGCCTGGATAGTTTTTCTGCCGCCTGGACTACATATGTCCCACTCATCCACCCTCACAAGCATACTGAGGTCAGCTTTAATTTAAAATGGAATCACATATGCCATCAATTAATCACTATGAAAAAAGGGCCATGGTTTCAATACTTACTAGACCCACAAGTGGACTGAGCTTGGAAAAATTACATTTCTGGACTGCAGGTTCCCTTCCATCCACCAGCCAACATGGAAACAAGAAAAATTAAAAGGACCCCTTTGAACAAAAATTCAATTTGCAAAAGTAATTTTAATAGTAAAATAAATATAAAAACTTAATTTAAATATGTATGTTTTAAAACAATAAGCAAAGTTCTTGATAAATCTTACCTTCTAGAAATAATATCTAGCCCAGAAATTTGTTTAAGGTGATATAAATATTTTTATGTATGATAATCTCACTCTTGCACTTTGAAATTTCTACATAGCCTGGAAGAGGCACTTCTACTAGTTTGGAAAGTAATGGTCTGAAATCCACAAAGAAAGAAGGAAAACACATGTTTTAAAGGAGCATGAATGTGCAGAAATGTAGTTGTATGGATTGTCAATAGTGATGACTGTCCAACAGGTGTTCTCGATATTAAGATTATTCACAGCATTCACTACCACAACTAATGCACTGCTGGTGCAGAGAAAATCTAATTGTTCTGCTGATAGAGTACTTCAGTAGGAGTACATGGGGAGTGCAATTTATTTATAACAAAAATGCTACCTTGAACAATGCATTTCTAGATCTACTACAATCAATCAATCCCAGCTGCAAATTAATTGATACCAACCATCTAGAAAGGCCCTGGTCACTTTTAAACAAACTGATTGCCTTTTGCAACTTCTGCTGGGTTTGCCTTGTTTCAATCATCTAGATAAACAGAAATATGGAGAATGACAGGTCTGCCAGATAGTCTGATCTTTTTTTCCAATGAAGGCAATGACAGAAATTTTTAGAACAGTTCTTTTGGTTCAGCAGCTCAGGTTCTTTAAAACTTATTTCAGTTAACAAATAGAAAAGCTGACCTGAAAAAATGCTTTCTTTGACCAAGCAAACTCAGCTCTTGGAAGCTTGTTTTAGCATCCTTTAGGAAAGAAATGGCTCCTTTATGAATCAGTGAATGAGGAGAACAACAGGGAGTTCTCAGAAAGAAAAGGACACCAAATTAACTGATTAGTTAATTACATGTCAGAGAAATGTCTAATTTGTTTCATTGTGCATCAGATACCACACATGATTATAACTAC